ATCAGTTCCCTTATCTCCCAGGAACAGATGGTGTGAAGTGGAGAGCATTTTCACACCATTCCAGGATGCTCCTTTTAAATCTGATTCTGTCACCCCATCCCCACCCCAAGTGGCCCTCTCCCCCCACTTCCCTCAGTGCTGGGCACACGGTATCAAGTGTAACAAATGGGACTTTTTTGTTATTATCAATATTCCTCTTTGTATACCTGTTGCCTTGTCTTTACATGTTTTGCTCAGTAGGAGACATCCATGCCCCTCAAAAAGAGGTTTAGAGGGGGCCCAGATGGCCTACCTCTTTCTCTCTGATTGCCACAGCTGAGCAGAGCTCTTGGGATCTGGGGGTAATAATTCACCCAGCATCTCTTCATAAAACTAGGGATGCCTATCTTGGCCTATGAGGGGCAGTCCCAGCCAGCTGAGCACGGACTGTAAGGTAGTGACCCTGGGAGGGGGAGGGGAGGTCGAATGAGGGATAAGAGAAACACTTGGTGCCTGTCCTGAGGAATCCAAAGATGGGGAGAATATCTGACTGGGTATACTAGGAGAAACTTTGTGATACAGAACTTGACCTTGAATGTACAGGATTTGATAAGTTGGTAGTGGCAGAGAACATGGGGAAATGAAAAACTGCTGAGTATTTAAAAAATTTTTTTTTTAGTTAAAAACACCTGCTTGTATCTTGGCTTTGAGCAGCACCTAATAGCTAGATGGCTTTGGGCTGCTTGTGTAACCTCCAGCTTAACCTTATCTGTAAAGTGGGAATGGAAAATAGTAACCAAGTTGTAAGGATTTGTGATGATGGATGTAAAAGCCGGGTGTACCATGTACAAGGGGGCTTCAAATAGTTTGTGGAAAACTTCCATTATATTTTAATGAAACCCCTGGAATGCCAGATATATCTGGGATATTTTAGATGGAAGGAACAGTACGAACCAAGATATGAAGCTGGCATTTAAAAATTTTTAAAGAATGACAGACAAGAGGGGTTAGGATAGCTCAAGTAATGAGGGACAACAATTTCTGGTTCTAAAAAGACCATTTAAAAAAATAAAAGACCATTTCAATCATGGATTTGACCTTATATAACAAATATATAAATCTGGGACATTAATGGAAATGAAGGTAGTGAAACCCAGCTTCAGAGACATGAAATAATACTAGCTCACCAGCTGTTCCTTGGAAACCATAAACAGGGTCATTATGGGTTGGAATTGACTCGACAGCACTTAACAACAACAACGCTGCTCATTAGGACTCCTGGTATGGCGCTGTGGATTAATGTACCAGACTGCTAAGCCGTTTGAACTTCAAGGTCAGTGGTTCAAGCACACCAATCGCTCCTTGGAAACTCTACACAGGGTCACTATGGGTCGGAACCAACTTGATGGTACTTAACAACAACAACAACTGCTCATTAAGGGTCTTCTATGTGCCAGGCAATATTCTGGGTGCTTCTTATACATTTTGCATTTCCGCCTCATAGCAACAGGAAGGTTAGCATTATCATCCCCGCTTCTCCTATGAGGAGACTGAGGTCTAGGGAGACGGAGTGATTGACTGAAAGCCACATAGCTGGGACCATATCTAAGGAGATGGGGTGAAGGGGAGGTGCACATAAGCTGTGGCGGCCATCAGGTAGGCTTTTCTGTGAAGTGCCAAGACGTGGGTGGAGCTGGTTGCAGGTTACATGATCACATGATCGCTTGCCAGGTTATGCAACTGGGCTGGTGTGGGCTGCAGCTGTCTTCCTTGGAAGAGGAATTGGGTAAGGAGGGTCAGTGGGGAAGGCTTTTTCCCAGTGGAGGGGAAGAGAAACTGCTAGAGTGACTCTGTCCTCCTGCCCCCATTCCTCTAGGACAGCGGTGCACCTGGACATGCTATGCTGCCTGAGGTTTATATTTGTGGTGGGAGTTTGCCTCTGGCATTTCCATACATTGTAGGTGGTACCTACACCTTGAAGCCCCTCTTCTGACCTCCCTACTCTGTTCCTCCTCTTTTCTCAAAGCTCCCTACCAGGCAGAGGGGCCTAGTTTCCAGGATATTCCTTTGCTCGTATCCTGATGTTAGTGGTCCTAAGAAAAAGCCAGTTTCTGAGTGTCTCTCATGTGCTAGACATTGCTCTAGTCATCCTGAACATCAGTACTTTGGACTTGTCATCAAAAGGAACCAGTCCCTGAAGAAGACTCTCATGCTTGGTGAAGTCAAGTGTCAGTGAAAAGACAAAGACCTTCAGTCAGATGGATTGACACAGTGGCTACAACAATGGATACAAACTTAGGAATGATTGTGAGGATGGTACAGGACCAGGCAGTGTTTCATTCTGTTGTACATAGGACTGCTGGGAGTGGGAATGACCTTTCATGCAGGGTTCACCTTCTTCAAATCCTGGGGAATACCACTCAGCACCTGGGTACCAGTCAGGAAGGCTTAGGAGCTGAGGCAGGGGGAGAAGCAGGAAAAATAATCAGGATAAGAAAAGCACCAAAGTATATGCATTGTGCTTTATATCCCCAAAGCATCTTAAGATGTTATCTCAATTTAATCCTCATGTCATCCCTATGTGGTAGGTATTAGGGCCCTCTCCATTTTATGGAAGGTTCAGTAGTAATGATTACTAAGGTTTACCGAATACTTATCACCCTTCTTAGAATAAGTGCTTTAGGATGTTTTCTCATTGACTACTAATGACAACCTTATGAAGTAGGTAGGGTTATTGTAAAATAAATTACAAAACCAAGGCACAGAGAGATTAAGTAAACTGCCTCACTTCACACATTAGTAAATAGTAGAGATGAAGAGATGCGAGGGTGCTTCTGGTTGGAGGAACCAGCAAGAACATAAAGGTCTGGCCAGAGAAAAGGGTTGTTTGAAGATCTGGGGGAGACCAGGCTGGATAAGCTGGAAGTGGTCAGAGGCCCTTGAAGGCTGGGAGGGGAGAGTGGTGAAGCCTTGGCAAGCTGAGCAGTGGGAACCAGAGTGGGTCATGGGATAAGAACTGTGCTATCCAGTTGCTGCTGTTGAATAAGGCCTGAAGGCGGCTCTTGAGGGTCTGACCCTGGTGGGAAACAAGTTTTGGCTCTATGTGTGCTCATACATGTGTATGTAAATGAGGCCAGAGGGCAGGTTTAGAATGGGATCCTCAGAGATCTCTGAAGATTGGCCCCCAGTGTGCATATTAATCTTTTTGGAACTGTTATATCAAAGTCAGTGACCTAAAACAACAGAAATCTTTTTTCTCACAATTTTGGAGGCCAAAGGCTGAGCTCCAGAATTGTTTTCTGCGGGGTCATTTCCTTCTGAAGGTTCTAGGGAAAGTCTTTCTTTGCTGCTTTCTAGCTACTGCTGGTTGCTAACAGTCCTTGGCATTCCTTGGCTGGTAGCTGTAGCACCTTGATTTCTACCTCCTCCTTCACATAGTCATCTTTCCTCTGTGTTCGTCTGCCCCATGTCCAAATTTCTGTCTTCTTGTGAGGACACCAGCTCTTGGATTAGGGCCCACCCTAATCTAATATGTTCTCATCTTAACTTGGTTACATCTGTCTGCAAACATCCAATTTCCAAATAAGGTGACATCATAGGTACCAGGGTTAGGACTTGCATATATCTTTTTGGGGAACTCAGTTCAACCCACAACAGGGTGTTTTAGAGAAAGACGTCCCCAGAGCTTCCTTCTGGGGGTCAGAAAAGCACACATGGGAATTGTGCTTTCAGAAATAAGAGAAACAGCTTCAAGTTTTAAGTGAGAAACTCAATGCTCCACTGCTTAAAGTATCATCATGGACTGTTACCTGGAAGTCTGTGAGAAATCCCCTGACTGACTGAGTCAGAACTTACCTTTAAATGATGTCCCAGGTGGCCCATGAGCACATTATAGTTTGAGAAGTGATGGTCTAGCAATCTTATTTTTATTTTCTTTCCCACTCATAGTCAGTCTAGCCTGTGCCAGTCTGTGGGTACAAATCGGCCTGGTTGGGAGCCAGGCTCCAAGCTGCCCTTTGTTTTCCTCTTTTCACGTCTTACGTCTTACGTTCTCATGTTTCTCCCCTCGTGCTTGTGCAGGCTCTATCTCGGCCATTCTGGAGAACACGGAGCTTGTTGAGCCAGTCCCTTTGTTGTGCTCTTGGGCTGTGTCCAGCTTTTTACCGCTTATAAATGTTTCTGTCAGAGCCATTTCTATACATTTCTGCAGGTTAGTTCTTTAAGGTAGAATCTGGGGATTAAAGAGCACAAGCTGTTACTTGATTTATATTATAATTTGCCATATCCAGAAGCAAACATCTTACTGAATTTCCCCTTTCTCCTCAACAGCTCTTAGGGCCCTCTCTGTTTGGGAGGCCCAGTGGCAGAACAGGCTTCAGAACCACATAAGCCTGCGCTCAAATATAGTGCTGTGGGCAAGTCACTTAACATCTTGAGTTTGGGGTGGCTCTCATATAAAATCATAATAGTGCTACAAACTTTGTATGGTTTCTGTAAAGATAATAGTGATCCTGCCCACATCCATTTATTCAGCATTTTCTGTGAGTTACTCATTGAATCTTCTGTTTCCTTTGCAGAATAGATCCCCCCCTTTTACTGTATACGGAAGAGGGAGCTTACCAATGTTATTCTATAAGCACATTGTATGCTCAAGCCTGGATTATCACATCTAAAACATGAAAGTGCCAGAGTGCAGATAGAATAAGATAATGAACATCCAGCCTTTGGCTCAAGACCTGGGTCAGCAGTTGCTGGGTCCCTGCTTTCTCTTCCCACTGGCTTTATTGGTTTTGCTGGATTACTCTCAGAGTGGGGGCAGCATTGTTCTCAGATCAGCATTGTTCAGCAGTTCATCAGTCCCGATTTTGTTTTGTATCCAGACGCTCTCAGTAGAAGGGAGTTCTTAATGACTCAGGAATGAGGGGCAGAACTGGCTCTGAGCCCTGCTTCTGATTGGCTCCTTCTTCTCTAGGGATGTGGATGGCAAGACTGCCCGGGACCATGAGCTTTCCTCCGTGCTGCTGAGGTGGAGGCTGGGGCTGGAGGCCATGGGGTTGGCCCGACCCCTGACCTGGTTGTTGGGCCTGCCTACTGCAGTGGTCTATGGCTCCTTGGCCCTCTTCATCTCCGTTCTGCACAACGTGTTCCTGCTCTACTATGTGGACACCTTCGTGTCAGTGTACAAGATCAACAAGGCAGGCTTCTGGGTTGGAGAGGTACGGCCAGTGTTGGGCAGCCGGGCCAGTCACAGGGGCTGGGTCCTGTCTGGTAGGGGCATGGGGCAGACCAGGTTGTCCATGAGTCTCAGCAAGAAAGCTAGACGTGAAAGCCTCAGTGGGGATTGGACCAGCTATGAGCTTGGCACTGTTCTGTGTAGTCACATAAGTGATATAAGTATTATAGATCCGGGGGGCTCTGGAGAAGTTCAGTGGGGGCAGTAACTGGTACAATGGGTTTTAGCAGAGAGACTGACAGAGCAATAGTTTGCAGGCAGGAAAGCAGGGGTCAGTCTTTGAGGGGTTGTCAGAAGGCTGGGGAGGAGACTACCTGGAGCCCACCTGCCACCCTCCTTCTGCCTGCAGACGGTGTTTCTCCTCTGGAACAGCCTCAACGATCCTCTCTTCGGATGGCTCAGTGACCGCCAGTTCCTCAGCTCCCAGCCCCGGTTTGTACCTGGGGCAGCTTATTGGCCCTGTCTTGCCCCACCCCCTCTGCTGGACTCGGGGCGATTGGGGTACCATTTTCAGCTGTCAATTCCCCTTCCCCTCCTGAGGTCTAGGATGGAGAAATGGCCTTGCCTAAGCCCTACCTGCTTACATGGGGGAAGAGATTTATCCCAAGTTGGCTCGGCTGGCTCCTCGGGGCCAAGTGTTGTACCCCAAGCATCCTGTGCTGTTTCTGGAAGATTCTGTGTCCCCATCCCTGCTTCAGTCCTGTCACTATCCATACCCCTGAGGAGTGTGTACCCTACCACCCTTTGGCCATCAGCACTGGAAGGCTGTAGGGACGATAATAGGGGGTACCCACTGGGAATTGTGCTTCTTAGATTGGAGACCTGGGTTTCATGTTGCAATAGGGCCACCCTGGTATGAGTCCCACTTTAAGGCTCCATCCCTCTCTGGGGAAGGGGAAAACTGGGGCCTGCCAAGGCTGAAGGGCATCTCCCAACAGCCCTCCTCTCTCTGGCAGGTTGGCTGCTGGGCTGTCCTCAAGAGCTGTGGTGCTGACACGGGTGCAGGCGCTGAGCTGGCATGGACCATTGTTTGCACTGTCGTTCCTGGCATTCTGGGTGCCCTGGGCCCCAGCTGGCCTGCAGTTCTTGCTGTGCCTGTGCCTCTATGATGGTTTCCTGACGCTTGTGGACCTGCACCATCATGCCTTGCTGGCTGACCTGGCCCTCTCAGCCCACGATCGTACCCACCTCAACTTCTACTGCTCCCTCTTCAGTGCTGCTGGCTCCCTCTCTGTCTTTGCCTCCTACGCCTTCTGGAACAAGGAGAACTTCGCCTCTTTTCGCGCCTTTTGTGTGGCACTGGCCTTTGGCTCTGGGCTGGGCTTTGTGGGGGCCACATGGCTGCTGAGGAGGCGAATTGAGGCAGCTGGCAGGGAGCCAGGATACCCAACCCTAGCTGTGGATGGCGGGTGAGTGGCCCACCTGGTTTTGCAGATTCCCATCAGCACTCTTGTGAATCTAACTTCCATGCTAGGTCCCCTGGCCAACGGGTGGCTGCCCTAGACTGGGGGAATGGCTCTGACCCAGCCCCAGGCAGCCCTCCACTCCCCTCTGCCCTATAGCCTGTGTGGAGAGGAACTGCTTGTGGGCGGCGAGGAAGCGGGCAGCATCACCTTGGGCCAGTACCTCCGGCAGCTGGCACGCCACCGGAACTTCCTGTGGTTCGTGGGCATGGATCTGGTACAGGTATGGGGAGCAGCCCCCCTCCAGAATGGCTGGAGATACGCTTCAATCAAGGGGGCGGGTTCCTCAAGAGCTGGGCAATTAGTGCTGGGTCTCAAGTTAGGACCACCAGGTGATTCAATGACAGGAGCGCAGGGGGCCAGTTGGGAGACCTGGATTCCAGCACCATTTGCGTTCCTAACTGGCTGTGCAGTCTGAGACAGGTCAGCCTCTCTGGGTAGCCTTGGCCTCAACTGTAAAGTGAGGATATGGAAGTCAAACTTTGCTTGATGCCTGTGTATTAATCTCTCTTAAAAAATATAAAGGGCTGCACTTAAAATACATGAGGTATATTTTGTAGTTGTGAACTGCTGTCAAGTTGGTTCCAACATATAGTGACCCTGTATAGGGTTTCCGAGGAGTAGCTTGTGGGTTTGAACCGCCGATCTTGTGGTTAACAGTTCAGTGCTTGTCCTACAGTACCATTATCAAGGCCTCGGAGGTATTTAAGGTACCCAAACTTAGAAAGTTTTTATGTCAGTAAATTATTTTATCAAGTTGTTCTCAATAAGGACTCCTGATTCAAATCCACCAGCTGCTCCTTGGAAAACCTCAGAAACTAAGAGTCAGAAGCAACTTGATGGCACTTAATGATAACATTCTTAATGAAAAAGAAAAGAAAATAGTTTAAATTACTATTTTATCCTTTCTGCTAACTTTTATCAAAGGTAGATAAAAAAGCAGGGGTTTAGTTTTAGGTTTTGTTCTGACATGTTCCATGTTTAGGGATGTAGAGATCAAGACTTGATCTCCCTCTTGCTGCTCTGAGGCCCTAGGGCTGACTGCTCCCCTTCTGGCTTTCAGCACTGGTTCCGGCTCCCCTTCTAGCACCAACCCCCCCATGGCTGCCCCCTCACGGCCCCTATTGGGTTGCAGGTCTTTCACTGCCACTTCAACAGCAACTTCTTCCCCCTCTTCCTGGAGCACCTGTTGGCAGACCACATCTCCCTGTCCACTGGCTCTTTCCTGTTGGGTGAGTAGATGGATGTCTTGGGCAGGCTGTAAGGACAGAGAAGCAGGCATGGCCACTTCACCAGCAAGGGGCCTAGGGTGTCAGATGCAGGAATGACTCCAGCCCCCAACTGTTTTCAGGAGTAAGGGGTGGGAGCCCATTGTGGGATTTGGAGAGATTGGCCTCTTGGTGATGGTGCTCCCAGAGGTGATGAGTTGCAATGCTGGTTCACAGCAAGCTGCCATCTGATAGGCTTAGGGTGAGGCTGGGCTGTACTTATTCCCTGTGCTGCCTTGGGCATGCCATTTAATCTTTTGGGGTCTCCAGTTCTCATATGTAAAGTAGGCATAATAGTACCTAAAAAGTTGTTAGACGAAATAAATGAATGATTGGAACGTCATTGGTGTCCAGTATGTGCAGTGTGATTCTGACCGTGAAAATGTTGATAAACGGTGCAGTGCTCCCTGACCAGACAGCGCTCCTTCTCTCCAGGCATCTCCTACGTTGCTCCGCATCTCAACAACCTCTACTTCTTGCCCCTGTGCCGGCGATGGGGCGTTTACTCTGTAGTGCGAGGACTCTTCCTGCTCAAGCTGGGCCTTAGCCTACTCATGCTGTTGGCTGGCCCTGACCACCTCAGCCTGCTCTGCCTCTTCATTGCCAGGTATGCCTCACCCACCCTCTCCCCAACACACCTCTCCCAACCCTTCACTTTGTCTTTTCTCTTGCCACTGCAGTAACCGTGTCTTCACTGAAGGCACCTGTAAGCTGCTGACCTTGGTGGTCACTGACCTGGTAGACGAGGACATGGTGCTGAACCACCGTAAGCAGGCGGCCTCGGCGCTTCTCTTTGGCATGGTTGCCCTGGTGACCAAACCAGGCCAGACCTTTGCCCCACTCTTGGGTACCTGGCTGCTCTGCTTCTACACAGGTGAGGGCCCAAGGCTGGCAAGGGGCTCTTGAAGGCCCAGAGGCATGGTTTGCTGGGGGCAATTTCTTCTTCCAACAAGCCTGAACTCTAGGTCAGGGACAGAGAGAGAATGATAGCTGCCCAACAGAGGCTGGGCCTGGGCCACCCAGGGCCAATACCCCACCTCTGTCCCTTCCTATAAGGAGAGAGGGCACTGGGTCTCAGCTTCTCCCATTCTCTCAAATACTCATTCACCCAAGCAGTATGTGGAGAATGCCTTCTCTGGGCCAAGCACTGCTCTAGGTGCTAGAGAAATAACGAGTAAGGAGCTCTGGGTAGCATAGTGGTTACGAATTGCAAGGTCAGCAGTTCGAAACTACCAGCTGTTCCGCGGGAGAAAGATGAGGCATTCTGCTCCCGTAAAGACTTACAGCCTCGGAAACCCTGTACAGGGTCGCTATGAGTCAGAACCAACTCCATGGCACATAACCAAGACATACAAGGTCTTTGTTATCATGTTGGGGAAGAAGGTGGGGGTCATGTGCTGTGGAGTTGGTTCTGACTCATAGTGACCCTGCACAGGGTTTCCGAGGCTGTAAATCTTTAAGGGAGTAGAAAGGTAGGGCTTGTAATAAATAGCTACACAAAGCATTGCCAGGTATGGTAAGTGTTGTAATAATAAAAATAGGCATGAAGATGGGAGACGGTGTGATGGAGTGTGGTCAGGGAAAGCCTCTTCAATGAGGTGATGCTCAAAATGTGCACTGATGGCAAAGAGTTGCTCTGGAAAAGATCTCAGGGAACCCCAGATAGTGGGAACAGCCAAGTGCAAAGGCCCAAGATATCAGGAGTGGTTAGTGTAGAGAAATGAAGAAGCGAGCTCTGCAGATCAAGGCAGGGTTTAGATTTTATTCTTGGCAAAGGGAGCATTCTAAGCAGGGTCATGATATAGTCTGGTTTACATTTTAAAAAGTATGTTTACAATCTTATTTTGCTGTTGACAATATGCACAGCAAAACATACATCAATGGGTCAGTTTCTACATACACAACTCAGCAACATTGATTAAATCTTTAGTTTTGTAACCCTCCTTTTCTGATTTGTTCCTACCCATTAAAATAAAATTCACTGTTCCTTAATAATTCCTAATCTTTCAACTTGCTGTTGTCAGTTTGATTCCCCATAAAAAAACAAATCCACTGCTGTTGAATCCATTTCGACTCAGAGCAACCCTGTAGCACAGAGTAGAACTGCCCGAGGGTTTCCACAGTTGTCATCTGCACACAAGTAGACTGCCACATCTTTTTTCTGTGAAGCAGCTGCTGGGTTTGAACCACCAACCTTTTGGTTAACCAAGCACTTAACCAATGTGCCACCAGGGCTCCTTAATTCCATGTAGATAATTCTTAAGAGTATAATGCTCAAGGTGTAAGATTTTTACTAGTTAAACTGAACTGGTGTGGCACGGGAGGGTAAGCACTGGACTGCAAGGTTGTTTGAACCTCAAGGTTGGCGGTTCAAACTCACCAGCCACTCCTTGGAAATCTTATATAGGGTTGCTATGAGTCGGACTCAAAGGCACTTAACAGCAAGAAGCTAAGCTACTGTTTGGTTTTAATATGTTAGGGAATATTTTTGGCTTATGGTTTAAATATTATTTGAGGGCAATAGTTTCAGAAGTTCATGCATCCATCCTGGCTTCTGGAGTCTGGTTTGCATTGTAATGCTCATTCTGGCTGCTGTGTGGAAGCATGGATCATATGGCAGGCAAAGCAGGTACAACAGGGAGATTATCACCAGGCATGGCAGAGGCAATGGAGGCTGGGGTCAGAGTGGTGGCAGGGGCCAGAATTCAGTTGGCTCAGCTGGCTCCTCAGAGCTGTGTTGTAACCCAAGTTTGGGATGCTTTGGGGTTGGGGGAAGGAGATGGATGTTGTGGGATGAGGATGGAAATGGAGGAGTCAAGGACTGTTGAGGTTTGGGGTGTAGGTTACTGGGTGGATGAAGGTACCATTCACTGAGAAGACTTAAGAGGATGGAATGAACAATTATAACTTAGACTTGTATATGTGACATTTGAGATAACCCACTGAGGACTTTGGAGGGGAGCTGCACTGACCATATGCCTTCTGGGCTTTCATCCTAGGTCATGATCTCTTCCAGCAGGCCCCACTGGCCCCCGTGGGGAGTGCCCAACCCTGGCCAGAGCCCCCAGCCCCACCCCCTGCCCAGGCCCCAACACTCCGCCAGGGCTGCTTCTACCTGCTGGTGTTGGTGCCCATCACCTGTGCTCTGCTGCAGCTGTTCACCTGGTCCCAGTTCACACTGCATGGGAGACGCCTGCACACGGTCAAAGCCCAGCGCCAGCACCTGTCACAGGCTCAAAGCCTGGATGTGAAGACGGTGTGAGAAGTGGGGCAAGGCCAGCTGGGCAGGACACTGCCCACAGTCCTGGGGAGAAGCCTCTTTGCCAGACTGGCATTCTGCTTCTCTACCTTTCTTGGGTACAGCCTGGAGGACAGATGGCAGATCAGGAGCTCCTGGGGCTGAGCCTGGAGAACTGCTGAGGTCTAAGTACTCTCTTGCCTGACTGGCCCAGCCTGGAAAAGGTTGGATGTATGCTCAGGGACCTGTTTCCCTGTTAGGGGCCAGGAGGAAAGAATCGGACCAAGACGGGATGAAATGGGCAACTCTTTGGTGCTTATAGGGTTGCTGTGGGGTATGGAGGTCTGCCCACTGCTTGGCTGTCCTGTGGGCACAGGAACCACTTTTGATGCTGCAACTGATCCCTCTAGCCCAGTCAAGGGAAGGTGACTGTAAACCCCTCCTGTGGTTTCTCAAGAGATTTTCCAATTGTTTTTGAAGCAGTACACCCACTTCTGCTGCAGGGCCTCCCCCTGCTTCTGAAGAGGTCCATTTCATACAGATTAAAGACATAATTTCTATTCCTCAGGTCTGCGCTGTGTGCACACAGGGCAGGCTGATGGTGGGGCTGGGGCACAAGGCTCTACGATAGAAAGAGCACCCAGGGAGCATCTTCCCAAGTATAAGTGGTGGGCTATCTGCATCCCTACCAGAGGTATCTGTGAAAAAATATGGAGCTGGAGCCAGGAACCCAGGGCATTTCCCATGTGCCATTGCTAGACACTGTAGACAAAGAAGAGGAGCTTCTAGGCCAGAGATTTTCAACCTTGGACTCACCTGAGGACCTTTAAAAACACCGATTTTACTCCCAGAATCTGATTTCTTAGGTGTGGGGAATAGCCTGGGCATTGGGATTTTAAAAAGCACTAGGGGTGGTTTTCCTGTGCAGCTAAGATCAAGAACCACTTACTGCTAGAAACATCTGGAGTGGACTTTTTTTTTGCTGTGGATATGCTTCATAGCAGCACTATCCCTGACCACTGTCTACTCAAGCTGCTTGTAGCCCCCACCCCTTACCAGTTAAGACATGTCTATGTTGCCAAATGTGTCCTGAAGGACAAAATGAACCTGTTGAGGACCAATGCTACAGGTCAGTGGACTTTTGAGGGTCTACCAAATGGCTAAGATGGTAGGTTCTAGGGCTACAGAGTTTGGGGTAAAACCCTTGCTTATTAAGAGCAGAGCCTTGGGAAATTGTTTATAATCTTTCTGTGCCCCTGCTTCATCTGTGCAAGGGGTAAGTAATAAAAATATCTATACCTTCCAGGGTTACTGGAACCACTTGGCAATTATTTTCCCCAAATATTAGTTTAAAATGAAGAACTGGGGAACCAGAATATCAGAGTGGGTCCTAGAAAACTGCATTTCCATAAGGCCCTGAGACAGATGTCAAAAGCTATTCCTATAGTGGGGATCGATCCTCAGGATCTTGTTAAGTATCTCAAGCCTGTTCTCACTCATAGAGACCTGTGTAGGGTTTTCAAGCAGTGGCTGGTAAGATACTGCGGTTCAAATCGACCTTGAGGTCCTACAGCACCACACCAGGACTCCTTGATTCTAGACGTGGGTTTTAATGTTTTCTGTGTATCCACCTGTCAGGCTGACAGGACTGTGGCCTGGTCAAGTCTGGCTGGTACGACAATGCCCTCTAGAGGTTGCAGTAGGCCCAATCACCCACAGTTATAGTTTCAGGACATGGCTCACCCAGTACTGGCTACAGACAGAGGTCCAGCAGAAGTGTCGATTGGAACAACTTTATTTAAGTGTACTGGGCCCCACCAGGCAACATGGTTTGTGCGAGGCTGTGCGAGAGACAGGCTTAGGCTAAAAGAAGGGAGGTGAGCTGGTTTAGCACACTGCAGTCCTCGGGTCACCACATCGCTTTCACACACACCTGCTGCTGTTGCCCACATCTAGCAAGGGCCTTTGGTGATACGATGGCATGGGGGAAACTACTGTCTGGACTCTGGAGCTGGGTGGGTCTTGGTGTCACAGGTGGGGTTCTAGGGAAGGCATACTAGCCCCAGCCTGGCACCATCTAGGCTGAAAGGCCTTTGGACTACTGTTATCAGGGGTGGGGATGAGATGAGGGGCAGTCCAGGGTACCTACCTGGCCCTGTTGGACTAGAGATGAATCTGAGCCCATCAACTCCTGGCACCCTGGTCTTGAACCCTCATTATCAGGTTCAAAGTTAAGAATGGCACAAGATCAGCATAGCCCCCCTGATTAGCAAGAGTGGAAAAGGCAACATGGTTAATGCTGTTCTGATTGCAGCTTTCTCCAGTCCTGTGGGGGCTGCATCTTCACAACCCCTCCTTTACTAGGGGCCTCTGCCAAACTAAGTGGTTCTACTTCCGGTTTCAGAAAATTCCACCAGCAGCCAACCAGTTGCTTCCAGGGCAGTGAGCAAGTAGAAGGGGAAGAAAGAGGCTGTGGGAGTGCATTTGAAGGTAGCTTTCAATCCCACAGCAGCCCTGAGGCTTATGGGTACTGTCAGTTCACCATCAGCAGGGAGTGACAGGGCCCTGGATGCTACACTAAGAGTAGGTGCTGTAAACATTAGTGTCAACAGGGTGGCTGGTGGGCAGGAGGTGACGAGCTCCATGCTCTCCAGTCCCCTCACTGAACAAACACTTGAATAAATAAAACTGAACATGGCATTGAGACAAGGATGGATGAAAACAAGTAATAGGACCTGTAGACAACCAGCTCCTTAAACTCTCCCAAGATCCTCCTGGTGGGGGTGGGGGTTGACCATCAACTCTGCCACTGATTAGAAACGGCACCATTCCTGTCCTCTTCAAATGCCCAGTGTGGCCCTGGTCCCCAGGTGAACTTCAGGGTACCCTAACCCCAGAATCTAACAACTGGAGTGCTTTTCCAGCTTCCCAAATCCAAACTGCATCCAAACCAGACAGAACTCAACCCTGGCCCCAGCCCTCAGTCCATTATCAAAAGACAAGGAGAGCAGAATGGTGAGCAAAGGGAGACAGCAGTTGTGTGGGACAGCCACCCTGGGGAGGCTGGGGGGAGGGGCGAGCCCAGGCTGGATAGGCAGCAGCAAGGTCTAAGGGTGGGGTGGGGGTGGGTGTACCTCCCTGTCTCCCTCGGGTAGTAAACATAGTCCCACACAACCAGACAAAAGGCCAGCTGACAGGGGTGGGGTCCTCTGCCAGCACTCTTCCCTTTCAGGGCCAGTTAGTGGTCAACCCCAGGCCTCAGGCTGTCGCCATCATGGGTAGTTCATCGTCCTTTCTGGGCCCTGGAATCCCAGGGCTACACTGCACTCGCATATGCACACACACTCTTACCCACGCACCACACACGCACTTGCATACACAGGCAATTCCTCGCAAACACTCCAACTCTCAAGAAAGCGAGTTTTAAAGTGGAGTTAACTTCAGAGAGAGGTGAAGACGATGTCCCAACATTAAAAGGTTTTCCTGTGAATGGACCGGGCACCGTCTTCCTCATATTCCTTCTTGGAGACCCACATCTTCTTAAAGGTGTCCAGGGAAGCAAGAATAGAGCCCCTGAACAGAGTGGAAAGAATCCAAAGGAACAGTGTGAGAGAGCAGGTATCCATGGGGTCCAACCATTATCAGGCTTTTCTGGGAGTAAGAGACAGAGATAAAGGTGGGGAGGGCTTCCTGTTCCGCTCTTATTTTGAAAGAGCTACTCACCCAATCCATGTGGAATACAGCCTCTCCTGAGGTGCAGATATCTGCAAGGATGGGTGGGAGAAGGAATCTGAGGCTTCATCCCTTCCCCTCTATTGCAGGTCTTTCCTTCCCAACCCACTGCCCAAGGCTGTGGGTGCAATCCCACCACAGACAGAGTTCCTGCTGGACCCCAGACCTCCCAAGGGGTAAGTGGTCAGCCTGACATGCATCTGGGAAAGCAGGTCTCCAGCTGCTCTAAGTATCTACAAGCCCAGGGCTCTGTTGGGAGCAGAAGAGTGCAGACTCCAAAAGCAGAAACCTCACTTCTTCATTTATGTGCCGCCTCAACTCCCTCCCACATCACTAAGAGGCTAGACTAGGTTACAGGGGAGCCCCTGGGCAGGGCCATAGGAACAGTCTAAATCAATCTCCTGTCCTTTTTCCAGTTTCTTGGAAAGAGTACATGTGGAGTGCTCAGCCCCATCTAGGTTCTAGAAATGCCCTCCTTTTGAATGAAGAGGGAGGATGAAAACAGTTCCTCCCATCTGGCAGGCCCAGGCCTCAGGGTCAGTGTATAGGCTACGAAGCTGTTCATAGGAGCCAGACTGCAGAGCACTCCAGAACCACAGAGGCCCAGTTTCCATGCAGGCCCAGCCCCCACCACGCTCCTACCCTGATCTTCACATCTTTTGGAGCCAGTTTCTTCACTTCACTGAGTAGTCGGTCACCAAAACCTGTATGGGCAGAAAAAGAATCTTAAGTTAGTTGTGTATTTAGATCCAGCAGGACCTGGAAACTTCCTGGGGAAGGGCCCAGAAGTAAAGACCAACCTTTGAACAGGGTGGAGCCTCCCGAAAGGACAATGTTGGAGAAAAGTGTGCGCCGCAGGTCCATGTCTGACTTCTGGATGGCAAACACCAGGACCTCATGGATGCCCTCACTCTCCTCACCAATCAGATCTGGCCTGAAGAGCAGCTCAGGTGCCCGGAAGCGGGAAGGACCTATCTGCAGGGTGGAAGGCCAGATTCAGAAGCTGAGGCTGAGGTTCAATGGAAAGGGCCCTCTGCCCATCCCTTAGTAACCATGGGATATGAAGGCTAGGTTCAGGTAAGATCCTGTATGTCAAGAGCCTCAAGAAACAAAGAGTAGCTATAGAGCCTCTAGGGAAACATTTAATCCTAGTTCTGGCATTTTCCAACAAAGAGACCTTTGGCATTGATATGCTAATTCCTTCATCAGGATGTCTTCTTATCACTAGAGTTTCAGGAGGCAGCTCAGTCTGAAGGTCACTTTGACCCAGGCGAGGTCAAAGACAACTCTAGCCACCCCACTTCCTGATCCCATCCTGACCTAGGGCCTCCTCTCCTCCACAGAGCCAGGAAGGAGTGAAGTCCCAGCTGTCTCATTCTGCAGGGCCTAGTGCTACTGAAGAGCTGGTCAAACTGCTCAGGCAGGTTTGATCCATCGACTCCATTCTCCTCATGGGTAGCTCCGTTTGGGTCCAGGGCCCTTGTGGGTCTGAGGGGAGAGGTCTGGTCACCCACCTCAATGGTGCTACCATCGGGCAGGTAGTATTGAGCCTTCTCTGTCTCCAGCGTCTCATCCTTCTGGGGGTTGATGGAGAGGTAGCAGGCTCTCTGCAGAAGCAGCAAAACAGTTAGTCTGGCAGGACACTAGTGCACACTTGGTCAGAGTCTGAGGGAGTGATGTGCTGCTACAGAAAGCTGCCCTTCTGCAGTGATTGCCCCAAAGCTCCCAAGAGCATCCACCCAGAAGCAGGAACATGGAGGCCTCTGTAGGCCTTCCCTGGTGGTATTTATGATCCATACTCTCAGCTGCTCCACCTTCCTGGATCCAGAATTTGAGAACACAACCCAGTTTTAGCCCTAGCCCAGGCATCTTTCTCTTACTATTCATAAAGACTATGGTTTTAGGTCCCTTCTATCCAGCTCAGAGGTTGCCCTATACTTCAGAGCACAGTTCAGTTTGAAAAGAAAATCTATAGTGACAAACCTCTTTAAAAGGATGTTGTTGTTGTGTGCCATGGAGTTGGTTTGGACTCATAGTGACCCTGTACAGGGATTCTGAGGCTGTAAATCTTTACGGGAGCAGAAAGCCTCATCTTTCTCCCGCGGAACAGCTGGTAGTTTTGAACTGCTTACCTTACGGTTCACAGCCTGATTCAGCGTAACCACTACGCTACCAGAATCTATGTACTGTATACATAAGTTATACCTATGCACGCATCACCCACCCAGCTTAAGAACTAGACGCAACTTCCTTTCTCCACCACCAGATGTTAGGAAGGTGAACCTGTCAGTTGGAGGAGCCAGTGCTGCCCAGAGGTCTGGCTGGGAAGAAGGGTACCTGACGCTCAACATAAGAGTTTCACTTCCCCTCCCGTCACCCGGAGTTTGTCCCCCATACTAGGCCCACGGAGCAGCACTCACTTCTTTTATGGCCTTGACAATCTCAAACTCGGAGGATGAGTGGAAGTCATAGCCCTCTTTGCGAAGGTAAAGGCGGAGGAAGCGGGAGACATCTCGGCCAGCGATGTCGATGCGCATGATAGAGTGGGGCATTGCAAAGCCCTCGTAGATGGGCACTGCATGGGTGACGCCGTCCCCAGAGTCCAGCACTACACCTGTGGTCCTGCCCGTGGCATAACTGAAGCAAAGAGGACAAACCATCACTAACCCTTGGGAAGAAACACTTCTTCTTAGAGCTCAGTGTCAGCTAAACCAAAGTTTGGGTCTGCTTGTTCAGGGGTCACCTCTGAGTGGGCTGGGTACTAAGGATGTCTGTGCATGGGAGAAGCCTTGAAATAACTGAGTGAGAGGAGCTGAGCTCCCTCAAGCTCGGCCCCCACCCCACCCCACCCTGGAGGAGATGGCCTGGCCTTCAACTGCTTCAGGGGACTCAGGGGCAGAGTTCTCAATCTCTAGCAACCACGAAAAAACTCAAATAACTATAGAGGCCAGGTAGTGAGTAAAGGAAACTAAAGATATTTTTAACTTCCATAAAAAACTAGTTTTCTTCACACACGGCCTTCTAGATCTGTCTTTAGTTTTGTTTCTTTTGGCAGACAAGGATACAGACATAGATTTGTCTACTATGGGGTAAAGAAGGAACCCAATCTTTGATAAAAAGCAACAGACACATGCTGCCTTGGTGTTGGGAAGGTAACGGGTTGGTGAACTATGGGAAAGTCAAGCACACAAAACCCTTCTAAATGGGCAGCTCCAGCTGTTTCTTTCCTATAGGAATGCAGGCCAAGAATTATCAGATATTCCCATTTTTTAAAGAGAAGTTAGAAATTCTGTTTTGATTTGCAATCTCTCCAGTTTAAAATACTGGCTCACAATTTTTTAATGGGGCCAAATAAATCAAATGTGAAGGTCACCACTGTACAATCTCTGCAGTAGACCTCTCACTGGTGAGGGGGATAGCACATGACAGGAAAGACGGGTGAGCTCTGTGGTGTTCTGATCAGAGTGTGTCTCCAGCCTAGCATAGAGCCTGGCACACAGTAGGCACTAAGTAGGGCTTTCAGGAAGAGCATGTGGCCTTCCCAGCAGACCCAGGGGAGAGTCTAGGGCACCAAAGTCACTGAGAGTACTGAGATGGGATACAGTCTCAACAGCGACTACATCTTCTCTTTTGGTTTCAACTGCAAAGTCTTCAAGCTCAGTTTTAGCATCAGTCTCCCTCCTTTCCCACCATCCTTAACCCTTCCCCAGCAGGGGTGCTTAAGCTACTCCGAATCAGCCCAGTTCAATGGAGAGGAAGCTCCAATTGCACCAAAGTCCCCAAGGGGCCAGGCTGGCTAACTAGCTGCTACTCACAGGCTGAGCACAGCTTGCATGGAGATGAAAAGGGCTGGCACATTGAAGGTCTCGAAGAAAACTTCAGCTGCTCGTTCTCGGTTTTTCCGTGGATTTAAAGGCGCCTCCGTCAGAAGCACAGGATGCTAGTGAAAGATACCCAGCCAATAATCAGGGAGAGGTCAGATCTCCACCCCTCACTGGTGGTGGTAGTTATGTGCTATTAAGTGGGTCATGACTCATAGTGATCCTGGAGAGGGTTTCCAAGGCTGTAAATTTTCACAGGAGGAAAAAGCCTCATCTTTCTCCCTTGGAGTGGCTGGTAGATTCAAACAGCTGATGTTGCAGTTAACAGCCTGCTATGTAACAACAATGCTCCACCCCTCAACTTGTTCTTGTTGTTGTCGTTGTCAAGTGCCGTCGAGTCAGTTCCGACCCATAGCGACCCTGTATAAGCTTTCCAAGGAGCATCTGGTGCATCTGAACTGCCAACCTTGCAGTTCAAATTGACTTTGCAGGCCAGCGCATTAACCTACAGTGCCATACCAGGACTCAGCAAAGTCCCTGTGTGGCTGGCTAGAGGGCCAAGGAAACATTTGTCAGGCTCCCTCCAAAACAGCCAAGCTGGGCCTGTCATCTAGCCTTACCCAATTCACTCTCAACTTTCCAAATTCATGCCCTCTTTAAAGTCTCATTCTGTTCTTGCCTCCACCCAGCTACTCCCTTCTTTGGCCTCTAAGATTCTTATGTAGACCAAACCGACTGATTCCAACTCACAGTGACCCTAGAGGGCAAAGTAGAACTGCCCCATACTTGGTTTCCAAAGTTGTAATCTTTACAGAAGCAGACTGCCACATCTTTCTCCCTCAGAATGGCTGGTGGATTCAAGCTGAACACTTAAATCGTGGTACCACTAGGGCTCCTTATATAGGCTCCTATATCTACTGCCTAGCTCCAATTGCTAAGAAGATCCTGTTAAAACTCTAGATTCTGAGTTATAATAAAAATCTCAAAATTGTTCAAAATTTTGAATGTGCTTTTTAAACCGAACACATTCCTCCTCTGGAAATTCTGATATATTTAGGATGCATTTTCCTTCACATTTTAGCTCCCTAGATGTTACAGAATAGAACTCTGAAATTCAAAAGACCTGGCTTTAACTCCCAGCTCTACCACCTTATTCACTCTGGGAAATACTAATTGGCTTCACTGAACCTCTGCCTTCTTGTTTGTAAAATGGATACCACTACGAGTTTTTCAATGAGAGATTAAATCAAGTATGTCTGAAAAGTGCATGACTTGAGGCCCAGCACACAGTAAGCACTCCAACACTCTGATTGCCATCACCATCGTCATTTCTGGGGTTGGGATTCTGGTGCCCTCATACAGGATCCTTACCTCCTCAGAGAAAGTCTGCAGCTGGTCCTTAGAATAGACATACTGCCAGATGCGCTCCATGTCATTCCAGTCCTTGACAATGCCATGCTCCATTGGGTAGCGGATAGAGAGCAGCCCTCGGTGCTCCTGGGACACAGAGCAGGAAAGGGCAACAGCAGTCAGCTTCTCAGTCAGCATGCTTGGGACCCTGCTCTCCCCGGACTGCGCTGTGGCCAAATCACCAGAAAGTGCTTGCAAAGGTGCCTCAGTTCCCTGAGGTCCCACCTAACATAACAGCCCTCTCCCCTGAGCTAAAGACAAGCACCTGCTCTCTCAGTCTCTAGCCTATGCTACAATCTGCCCTTCCTGCCCAAGCAGCTGGCAAAGCAGAGAGAGAGCTTCTGCATTTACATGGGCCCTCCGGTGTCCCAGAGCTGAAAGACAGGAAGCACATCCTCACTGCCTGGTCCCAGGATCCAATCTTCTGGCTCTTTTAACGATCTTGCTCCCACTTCTGGGTCTCAGCATTTGGGCCAAGGTTGGCTACTAGGATTCTGTTGTTCTGCTTCTTAGAGGCTGCTTGAGGACTCTGCCAAAACTGCTAATTAGCTCATCCCCAGGGTAGTCCCTCTTGAATCCCCCTTTTTTCTTCCCCTCCAGTGTCTATTTTATAATATAATGCAAGGAAAACCAAGATTCAAAAGACAGCCAAGCATCTTAACATTATTCCTATCTTTTCCCCATTCCAACCATGGCTCAATCTCTGTATCTTAGAACCCTGTTGTTCCAAGGTTGTGCATACATCATTATTTACCTCTGTCCCACTTAGTCCATTCAAACCTGCCTAATTGTTCTCCCATCTGCTTTGTTCTTCGGTTTCCCTCTCCCTTTTTGTATACTGCCCCCCTCCCTGGCACCCAAACTATCCTGTGTCTATTCCCTGTCCTGTGCTGCACCTTCCCCTCCCTCCTCTCACCCCACTCCCAACATCCCAGCAATCAGCAAAAAATCCCTCCACCCCCCTTTAGTTGAATCCCTTTTGTCAGAAAGATACCCAAGCCAGTCATTGTGAATGCCAGCAAGGTAGTATGACAATATAGAAGACAGGCAAGGCCCTGTGTGCTAGACACAGTGTTTCCTGAAGTAGGGTTCCAGATATTTCCTCTCCAAGACCAGAAGGTGCTCCTGGAAGAACTAAATGACCTCAGCGTAGGAGAGGGGTGTTTTAAAGAGAATGGCTCTTTTTACTCTTGCCCGTGCCCATCTACTAGGACACATTCATGTGATGAATACTGACTGTCCTCCGCTGGCTTGAAGCTGCTTCTGTTGGCTTAGGAATTACCTCAGCTTTGGGGCCAATGAAGATGTCCCCTTCAAGGGCTCCTGCCATGACACGCACGTGCTTCGGTCTCCCCACACTACAAAAGAGAATGGGGGGGAAGGGGGGAGGCTTCACTTCTCATTTCATGACAGAATGAGGGAAGGGCATACAGATGCAGACTTAACACAGAAAGTAAGTATACTCAGGTTTAATGAGCTTATCTTTGAGGAATGTGGGGCTATAGTTGATTTTTACTTCTTCTTTATACTTTGCTACATCTTCCAAAATTTCTACAATCAACATGTAATAATTATTTTAAACTATTTCATATTTTTAGTATATTTTATGCCAGTAAAACACATTTTAGAGGATTCTGTACCTCTTGTTCTTTTCCTTCACCAATGTATTGTGTAGACCAAGAGAGAGAGAGACAAAAACAAGAATTTCTAAGAGGCTAGTTAATTTTTAAAAAATGCTAAGTCTATTTGTTCTCCTTTCCCAGGACCCTCTACTAAGTAACACTGGTGTTGTGACTGTGACAGGTAACCTTCTTCCTCCCACCCCACCCCAACTGTAAGCCTATCCCCCTATTGCCTAGGTACCTGTGCCCTCTACTGCCCACAAGTCCCTCTGTCTTAGGAGGAAAGGTCTGAGAAAGTCACCGTGAAATGGTAGGGTATGGTTGAAAGTAAATTGCTGTCCTGGGTGGTGAAAGGATTTTAATCCAAAGAAACAAATCGTCCAAAAAAATTAGTAATGATATAATTCGGGGTATCAGATAAAATCAGATTTAAAAAAAAGTTCTCTTCTGTGCCTCTCAGATTGTACCATGTTGCCAACTGTTTCCTTTGCTTACTCCAAAAGCCAGCTCCTGTGCCTCACTTGTGTTGTGCTAACTATGAGGGATGACCCAAATGAAAAATTAATTCCTTCTTCCATAACAAAGTTGACAGCCTTCCCACATGATTAAACTACAGAACAACTTACTAGTTTGGAAAGCAGTATTTGGGGATCTGATCACCAGCAAAACCAGCTTTAATCACACCGGATCCCTGAGGGGAGAGAAAAAGAGAGAAGTCATTAGAAGTATCACAAAAACAAGAGAAAATTCTAGAACAATGTGTATAAAGAGCTCTAATTTTTATATTAAAAATAAATAAATAAAAAACCCTTCTCTCCGTGGATACTATATAGATCTGTAGGAGCACAGAAGAAGGTGCGTGCATTCCAAAGGGATTGAGGTGAGTGAGCTTGGGGATGGTGGCAAGGAGAACTTGGACCGCATATGCAAAGTACAGTTTGATCTTTCTGTATTCTTTGGCATGTTTTACTTTTGGAATTAAAAATCATATTCATAAAGGAAAGAAAAAGAAGGAAAATCCGAGGAGAGAAGAGGAAAGTTACTAGAAGCCCTGAAGCAGCCACAGTTGGTAAGGGAATCAAGGAGAAAGCACATGCTTCTTTCTGTTCTGACCATAGCGTTCTGCAAGCCTTTTCCCAGCACAGGCCTAAGCCCTTCCCGCCCCCTGGGCATCTGTGACAGACATCTCCATCGAGTGTTGCCCTGTTTGACGCTGATTCTGATGGGTCATACTGTCTGGGTCTTACTGCAGGGACAGAAGACTATTTTTTGGTGTACTAGCTGGTTTCCAGATGGTAACAAGTAGAGCAGCTCTAAAGTCTTGTCTGAGAACAGAAGAGACCTAAGGTAACAATCTTCATATTCCAGTACTTGATATCTGATGTTTTATGGGGTGTCTGGCTGCTCCCACCTGCACCTCTGACATCACTCAAGACCTGACCATTGTAAACAATGACTTCAGACTCTGTGCAGGACAGGATGTCCAGGCCAGACATTGCCTACAGATATATTAATTCTCTACCACTGCACCTGATGCACTGGCCTTCTACCCCACAATGGTTTATAGTTGGACGTATACTGGAGGCACACATACTCTTTGACCACTTCTCTTGGGGCAGAATGTGATCATTCCAGAACCCATAAAGCAAGCAGTAAACACACCAGGAGATGCTAAACAGCCAAGGCTTCCCAGCAACACCCCCGGTTCCCTCCTGCTCTTAGTACAGGAGAAGACGAAGTGAGGCTGACTATCTGGCAAGACAGAGGTTGGGGAAAGCAGAATAAGCCAGTTCTCTAAGGGAGCAACAGAAGAAAGAGAAATAAGGAGACAATGTGCAAACTCATTGGCCTGGTCAGTACAGAGCACAAAAAGTTGCAGCTATAAACTGAGCTTAAAGCCTGGGAAAGAGGAACTCTCCTACTGCAAACCCAAGGGTTCTGAGACAGTGAGATGGACATGTGAGAGCTGCACTGAACATGAGAACTCTGGGAACCTGTCAGCTCAAGCCTCTAGGATGGCTCCTTGCCTTCATCTGGGTGTGGTGATGCAGATGAGCTAATTGGATCTCCTGGGCAGAGGTGGAAAACAAGAAACTTAACGAGGAGACTTGTCCTTCTGATCCTGGATATTTTCAAGAGGTAATTTTCCTGGAGATTTGGTTTTCAATTGATTAGAAGAGGACTAGATAAAAAGAGTGTGGATTACAAGGAAGATTAAGATACCAGACTACTTTCCGCCTCTCTGTGCTCCTTTCCAACAACAGTTCCAGTATCACCACCTTCCTCCTTAAGAATAATCCCCAGTTGGAATAAATGATCTTCTTCCCATTATGTCATGCAAATCACCATTACTTGTGCTACTAGGTAGCATGCACTTCATTCTGCTTTCTATTAAAATTTATGGTTTATACTCTTTGCTTTTTTTCTGGCCAAGTCCTTGAGGTAGGAGACTTTATGTATCAGTAGTACCTGGCATTCACAGGTTGGCTGACTAAAATGAAAATCAATTGCAGTGACTGGCAAATGAAACCTAACGTATGAAACCTGAATGAGCAGCTGAAATGCCAGAAGCCCAAGGCAGAGGTGGTGCAGGAAAGGCAAAAGCAACGTTGGGAATGATGCACATGGTGGAACCAGACCCAGCTTGTCCCTGCAGTCCCAGAGCTGGTCTGCTAGTTAGGGGAGGGATGGGTGCGAAGTGGGAAGGTGGCTGAGCTGCCTCTATCTGGCTCAAGCCAAACCATGAGAACAAGCGAAAGGATCATGCCAATTTCTTTAACAGTATTTACAATTAGGAACTGAACTTGGCAAATGAGCTGCCACTCTCTTTAGTATTCACTATGGAAAAGCCAAGTAAACAAATACTGGTAGTAGACTTCATGAAAAAACGGTCTCTTTAAATATTTGACTTTTAAGGCTTCAAGTTTTCTGCCAGCCACCACAGACTGTTCTTCTGATGCAAGCGAACATGGTGGCTCAGTGCCTGCTGGCAACAGGTCTTGTGGCTTGGGAAACCTTTATCCTGGGCATTCCTGACTACTCCTGCCATGCTGGGAAGGAGGCTAGTTGCCTTTTCTTTTACAAGGGGAAAAAGGATGCTGAGAGTTGGGGCCACAGATTCTAGGGCACAGATTGTTACCTGGTGGACCCCTTTTGGACCAAACATATATTTTGTTTGGCTCACAAAGTAGTTTTACATTGTTGTTGTGTTGTGAAGTGCCACCAAGTCTATTCTGACCAATAGCGACCTATTGAAAATAGGTCTCATCAGTAGATTTTTGTATAGTCACAGAGTTGTGCAGCTATCAATACAATTTAATTTTAAAACTTTGTAATCACCCCAAAAAGAAACCCTTAGGTTGTCATTTATCACCCCCCAATGTTCCCAGCCCTAGTCTATTTTCTGTCTGTAACCACAATGTACTTTTCAATGAATTCTCAACAGTCAAAAATTTGAGATTGCATTTGAAATTTAATATATCAATTCTCTTGAAAAATGTGAAGCTCTGGCAACATTGGGCCTGCATTCCTGCATGAGGACAATTGGCTGGAAGGAGAAGCAGTTGGCCCTTTAGCCAGGCATGCTCACTGCACCTTCCATAATCCCCACAATGCTTTTCAAGCCACTCCATCCTTTACTGTTCAAAAGTGTTTTTGTTCCTACTTGGCCTCTGCAGGCTTTGAGTTTGAGATCCCCCCTATTCTAGACATTCCCAGTGACTATGAGGGTGAGTCAAAAATTATCTACACTACACTCTGGCTGTAGAATTTATTTTAATATTTTAGAAAAGACAAATCCATCATTTTTCGACATTATCTCCTTGCTTTTCAATACTTTCTCCATCTGTCAACAAGCTTTCGTATTCCTTTATTAAAAAGTGTTTTAGGCTGAGCTACAGCCCACGGATTCACCACTGTCTTCACTTCTTCACCAGAGGTGAATCTTCATCTTTGAAGGGCTGCTTCCAGGGGACCAAACAGGTGAAAGTCCAAATAGGAACAAGATCAGGATTATAGGGAGGATGCTTCAACCTCAAAACAAAGGGTTTTGGTTTTTGTTTTAAAATTTTTATTGTGAATTGAGTGATAATTTACATTCAGGAACATCAGTTTTACACTCATCATTTCATTGCAATGATTACAATCTCCTCCATGCATCATCATTCAACAGTATTTGCTTCTATTCCTCTGGATATTTTTTTGGTTTCTTGTGTGTGTGGGTGTGTGTGTGTGTGTGTGTACACAAAAACACTTGGGAATATATAATCATTTAAATAACCAAAGAACACATTCTGCAAGCCTGCCTCCTGGTCACCAGCACCTGGCTGCCAGCACATAGCCTTTCTCTTTCCAGAAGTCTAGAGTGCTCAGCTGCTCTCTCTCTCCATGTCCTCATCTCTGCCTCCATCTCTGGTATCACTGCTTCTCTCGATAGGGTCCCACATTCAGCTCATGCTCTTCTCCCTTGATGGCCCTAGGGTCCTCTGTTCCTGGACTGCAAGATCAACTACTCCCCATTTTTTGTTATAAAGCTTCTACCTTTATGGTTGTGATGGTCCCAATTAGTCATGATAACAATTACTCACTAATGAATCATGAGAATCTTATCCACATCTCTCAAAACAAAACTTTTGCAGAGTGCCAAGAGTGTGGGCAGAGATATATGGACATGGACATGCACTGTCATGCAAGATGACAATGCCCTTGGCTAACAGTCCTCTGCCTTTAATTTGAAGTTTAGGCTTCAGCTCTTCAGTGAGCATCTCACTGTAATGAGCACTGTTGGTTGTTGAACCTTTTTCCTGATAGTGTTCCAGTACTGGCCCTTGAGAATCCCAGAAAACTGTAAGCATCAATTTTCCACCTGATGGTTGACTTTTGAACTTTTTCTTGGTCGACAATTAAGCATGTTTCCATTCCATACTCTCCTGTTTACTCTCAGGAAATCAACATGAAAAAGTTCAAAAGTTCCGAGGCTGCAAATCTTTATGGGAGCAGAAAGCTTTATCTTTCTCCCATGGAACAGCTGGTAGTTTCGAACTGCCAATCTTGAGGTTAGCAGCCGATCAGTAAACACTACGCTAGCAGAGATCCTTCAGCTAATTCTAGTTTCCCTGAAACTTCAGTGAAATTTGAACAATGACTAGATATTTGATAATATTAAGAAACTACTGTTAATTTTATTAGGTATTATATTAAGTTTTTCAAAGACTGTGGGAAAAGAACATGGGTGTAACTGTTGTTGAAAAGACTGGTTAAGAGTTGATAACTGTTGAAAGAAAGAGTCCCCAATGAATAGATTTCATCTTGTCTAGATGGGTCTGGTGAAAAGAAATGGGGATAAGATTCATATAATTCAATAGTGAATAGTTATTATCATGACTAATTGCGACTGTCTAAATTGTAAAGGTAGAAGTTTTGTAACAAAAAGAGGGGAGTGGTTAATCTTACAGTGCAGAAACAGAGGACCCTAGGACCATTAAGAGAGAAGAGCACAAGCAGAATGCGGGACCTTATCCAAAGAAGCAGTGACGCCAGAGATGGAGGCAGAGATGAGGGCATGGAAAGAGGGAGTGGGTGAGGACTCTAGATTCATGAACTAAGAAGACAGGGACTAAGAGCTGGTGGCCAGGAGGCAGACTTGCAGAATGTGCCCTTTGGAGATGTAAATTATTATATATGCCTGAGTGTTTTTTTTTTTTTTAGAAAGCTAAAGTGGATAGAGAGAAATACTGTTAACTGATGGTACATGGAGGGGATTATAATCATTGTAATGAAACAAGGTGTATGATTTGTTGAATGTAAAACTGATGATATGCCAAAGTGGATAGAGAGAAATACTGTTAACTGATGGTACATGGAGGGGATTATAATCATTGTAATGAAACAAGGTGTATGATTTGTTGAATGTAAAACTGATGATATGCCCTGTAAACTTTCACTCAATCCACAATAAAAACCTTTGAAAAAAAAAAAAGAGTTGATAATTGTTACAGCTAGATGATGGGTATATGATTCCCTTTATTTCTGTATTTGAAATTATCTTTAATAAAAATATAGAGCTGGCAAATAAGATGATAATACAAGTAAAAATTCAAAACACATACCACACACACACATAAAATATACATATCCATCAAATCATGAGTGGAAATGGGCACATATCAGTATTATGATAGTGGCTGTTTCTGGGGTTGCTTCTGAAACAAAAAGGCTAGAGTATGGAGGAGTTGAAAGTGGCTTCAATTGTGTCTGTTACGCATTACCTTAAACAAACAATTCAACCTGAAGCAAAAAAGCAAAATGTCAACATGCTTTAAAACTAGGTGGGCTTGTTATATATGTCTCTGAAATAATTGTATGTTTAAAAGATCTCATTTCTTGTAAAGAAGGTGTAATCAGAACATACATCTGAAAAAACAGCGACACTCTGCTTAATGGCGAACTTCCAAACACCTGATACTGTTACGACACTGAGAAGCATACAGTCATGAAGAAGGACAAGAACCTTGGTCTATTTTAGGACAGAACTGTAACCACTAAGGTTTTAGCAAAGATTTAAGTTTCAAAATAAGCTTAATATTCTGACCAATCTGATGTTCTCTTCCTTTGCTACACTTTATGATGTGCCTTTGGGAAATAATTATTTTTAATTTTCAAATATAACTGAGGCTTTCTGCTCCCATGAAGATTTACCGCCTCAGAAACCCTGTACAGGGTTGCTATGAGTCAGAACCAACTCCACAGCACATAACCACCACCACCAACCACCACTGTTGCCATGAAAACATGTGCATCATGATGCGTGCACACTCATGTACACATGCTTTCCTTGTTAATCCTGATGAACTGGTTTGGTGCCAGAGAAAGATGAAAGGAGTGGTCATAATTGCCTCAACACTGGGAAAGGCAGTAAACTATGATGGGGCTCTTTCCTCTTTTCCAGCTTTCCTTTGTCTTCTTTTCTTTAATTACACTCTCCGTAGCCTAGAAATCAAATGTTAGCAACATGTTCAGCTTACAGAGTGCTTAAATCTGTCAGTGACACACTATTCTTATAATAGAAAGAAAGTAGACTCAAATATTCCGAATGATTACTCCTATCCATCTTTCATCTTGGGAGCACAGTGACTCTGTAGGATAAATACTGGACTGCAACCTACAGCACTGGCAGTTCGAACCCAGCAGCTACTCCAGGGAAGAAAGATGCTGCTTTCGGTTCCCACAGATGTATAGACTCAGAAACCTTACACATGGTCGCTATATGTTGAAACCAACTTGATGACACTTAACATCTTTCATCTTGAGAAGTCAAAACAGAAATCCTCTAAATTTCAAATAGCAAGAACTACCTGAGGCTCCAAATCTAAAAATGTGGATATATTCAGGAAATCCTAATGGGAAAATGACTTAAATTTCTCCAACTTCAACTTTCGGCAGAATTATTAGCATGGTGAAGAAAATGTTTTCCCAGAGAAAAAAACAAGTCAATTATTTATACATTAAAACAAAAAATGCACCACTGCTTTGATGCATTTCCAATAAATTACCAAGAAAGACAAAGGATAAACTCAAAAGTTGAGCTTCAGTGACATTAAAGAGACTGGCTGGAGTGGAGACAGGGCTCCTGCCCAACCTTTCAAGAAGCAAAGGCTCTGCTGGGGTAGATGACCTGACTGCACCTCTGTACTGCTAAGGAAAACAGAAAATTATTGCCAGTGGCTAATTTCTTTTCGTTTTCTTTTTTGTAACTAAGAAAAAAGCAGATGAAACACACATAGTGACTGAAGATAGAAGTAGTAGTGTCCTCTGGAAATCAGCATTAAGAACAAGGAGTCCTTCAAGACTCTTAAGCTTAGAGACATTTTTACTACTGAGATAACTGCCCGCCCATCAATCCAATGAAAAAACATTAATTGGGCACATAGTGTGTGCCAGCCACTGCCCTTGGTACTGTGTGTATGGAAGGGGAAGGGAGAGTTAATAAAAAAAAAAAATCCCACAAGGATTTAAAAATCTAGTGAAGGAGACAACAAACAAAAAACCTCTTCCAAAAGGGAGGTCACATTGAGCTAAAACAAGCTGAAGCCACACCCTTAGAAGGAAGAAAAAGTAACAACAAAAAAACACACCTTTCCTCAGAGTGAGTGAGGAACTTGAACTGGAATCCCAGTCTTAGTGCTCATTTCATACATCAGGTGGTTTGTATACCCTATTTAACCTCTTCAAGCCTCTATTTTCTGCATAAACTGAGACAAAAAAGCTACCTACCAGAGCTCTTTCTGGTTGGGACAGTGGTTAAAGCACTTGAAAACCAGCCACATGGTCAATGGTTCTAAATCAGCCTCTTCACAGGAGAAAGATGTGGCAGTCCGGTTCTTTAAAGATTCATACTATTGGAAACCCTATGATGCAGTTTCACTCTATCCTAAGGAGCTCTGGTAGCATAGAGGTTACAAATTGGGCCACTAATCTCACGGGCAGCAGTTCAAAACTACCAGTTATTCTGCGGGAGAAAGATGAGGCTTTCTGCTCCCGTAAAGATTTACAGCCTCAGAAACCCTACCAGAGGCTCTATGAGTCTGAACCAACCGAATCCACGGCACATAACAACAAGAACAGGGTTGCTGGAGTCCTGGGGTGGCGCTATGGGCTAATGCGTCAGACTGCAAAGTCGTTTGAACTGCAAGGTCGGTGGTTCAAGCTCACTAGCTGCTCCTTGGAAACCCTATACAGGGTCGCTATGGGGCAGTCGACTCGAGGGCACTTAACAACAACATAGGGTTGCTATGAGTAGGAAATGACTGGACAGCAGTGGGTTTTGGAGACCTATCTAGCAAGGCTCAAGTTTAAACCAGATGATGCAAAAGTACGTTGTAGGTGAGAGCTGGCTCAATAGGGTGAATCTGACAGAGTCAGTTTAGAACAAACAGGATTTCACACTCACGTGGAAGTAAGGCCTGTGGAGCGCTTCTACTCTGTACACTTGGGATACACCGTGAGTCAGAACAGACTCCACAGCAACTATGCTAACAACAACAAGGGGAACGGAACCATCACCTTTGAGTTGAAGACAAAAAATCAGTTTTACTGCCTCTTCTTCCCCATAAAATTAGTTTTGCGAGTGTTTTCATTTGCCACCACTGATGCATTTACGTGGGGTGCCAGCAAAACGAATAACGGATAAATCATGGGATTTAGGGCACCCCTATCTGGGTGACCTTGGGCTCACTTTACCTCCTTGAGTTTTACCTACAGTTTTCTCATCTGTAAAACGAGGATCAAGCTTCCTGCTTCGACTATCTTGTAAGTTTTTGTGAGGTTCCAATTCAAACGTATATGAACGTGGTAGAGAGCCTTGCAAATACTGTTTCGTTAATTTTTTTTTTCCCCTCAACAACCAAGCGTTTCGAAGAGAAAGGCATCTCCCAGCTTGCTTTGTCGCGTTGTTTTTTTTTTTCCCCAAGCTTTATTAACTGTATAATTACAGAAATAACTGAAATCCTAGGGCCATTTCTGACATCAGTTTCAGGGGCCTCACCCAGCTACATCAGCAAGGTGCCCCGCCCGCTTGAGGCCGCAAGAAACTTCTCCCCTTCCCTCCCCCCCGGCAGACGGGCCTTCTCGCTACGGTTCTGCGAGTTCCCTAAGCCAATCCTCACAGCCTTGGTGCACCGCACCGCCCATTATGGAGGGGAAACACTATGGCGGCCCGGAAGAATGGCGTGAGCCAATCACTGCAGAGAGCTGCCCTCATCCGGCAAGGCCCAGAGGCGGGGCCATCAGTCAAGATGGACAGCAAGGGCAGCCAATAGAATTACCAGAAACTGGGGAGTGGGCGGGCACCGGGCATTCACAAGCGGTTAAGGCCCCTCGAACCCAAGGGCCCACCGATCCAGCTCGGACTACAGCTCTTTCCTTTACTTACTCCAAAGTTCTCTATCATATGGTTGCCGAACAACCGCTCTATCCACGAACTAAGGATGGGGGAACACGGGGGGGTGGGGTGGGCGGCGGCTGAAACCGCCTGACAGGCCGGGCCAGTGACAAAGAGCCGGCGGCCAGGCTGAAACCCGGGAAGCGATTTCTTCGAGGAGACGAGCATAGGCCCCTTTAGAAATAGGAAAGATGCAACTCACGTTGTCTATCACAACAGGCTGGTTGGCGATCACATCGTAGGACTCCATGGTAAAGGAATCTCTCCTTCCAAGGAAGGAACTGCCAGGCCAGTCCGCTGCTAACGCTGCTGACACGCATGCGCAATCTAGCCGCCGGTACTTGGCATCCTGTGAGGGAGGGGATTCCGAGCTCTTCTCAAAGAACTACAATCCCCAGCATGCTTTGCACCAGGGGGACCTAACAAGGCCGCTTCTGAGACCCGCCTTTTAAATTTAGACTAACCACCGGTATTTTCTTCTCTGGTAGTGTTCGTAGAAAAATAAATGGAATACAGATTGATGCTTGTGTTGCATGCTTGGACCTGTAGTCCCTTTGAAAAGTTTCGCAGTGTATGCAGAGATATGTAGTTAGTTCTTTGTAGTTCGACTTGAATTGGTCAGTAATTCATGGATGTTTGGATTTTATGAATCAGTCCTGCCCACTCCACCACCGCCTCCCCTAAACAAGATACGGTTATCACGTTTTTGTTAATAACCTGCGGTATGCAGATGGCACACCTTGCTTGCTGAAAACAAAGAGGACTACAAGCACTTACTGATGAAGTCCAAAGACTTCAGCTTTCAGTAAGGATTGTTGTTAAGTGTCGTCAGGTCGATTCCACTCAGAGCAACCTTGTATAGAGCAGAAAGCCTCATCTTTCTGCCGAGGAGCAGCTGGTGGGCTAGAACCACTTACCTTGTGGTTTTCTGTCCAGTGCTTATCCTACAGAGTCAGCATGGGTTACACTTCAACATAAAGAAAATAAAAATCCTAACAACTGGACCAATAAGCAACATCATGAAAAATGGAGAAAAGATTGAAGCTGTCATGAGTTTCACTTTACTTGGATCTGCAATGAATGAATGCCATTGAAGCAGCAGTCCAGAAATCAAATGCTGTATTGCATTGGACAAATTTGCTGCAAAAGACTGCTTTAAAATCTTAAAAAGCCAAGATGTCACTTTGAGAACGAAGGTGCACCTGACACAAGCCATGGTATTATCAATCATTTCATATGTATTTGAAATAAAGAAAACCAAAGAATAAATTTTAAATTATGGTGTTGGTGAAGAATATTGATATACCATAGACTGCCAGGAGAATGAATACATTGGTGTTAGCAAACAGTCAGAATGTTCCTTAGAAGTGAGGATGGTAAAACTTAGTCTCATACACTTTGGATATGTTATCAGTCCCTATCGAAGGACAGACATCATGTTTGGTGAAGTAGAGGGTCAGTGAGAAGGAGGAAGACCCTCAATGAGATGGATTGACACAGTGGTTACAACAATGGGCTCAAACATACCAATCAATGATTGTGAGGATGTTGTAGGACCAGGCGGTGTTTCATTTTGTTGTACATGGTGTCATAATGAGTAAAAATCAACTTGATGGTACATAGCAATAACAAATATTGTTGTTAAGTACCTTTGACTGTAGAAGAACTGATGCTTTTGAGTTATGGTGTTGGAGGAGAATATTGAAAGTGCCATGGGCTGCCAAAAGAACAAACAGATGTGTGTTGGAAGAAGTGCACCTAGAGTGCTCCTTGGAGGCCAGGATGGCCAGACTTCATCTCTCATACTTCGGACATATTGTCAGGAGGGACCAGTTGCTGGAAAAGGATATCATGTTTGGTAAGGTGGAGGGTCAGAGAAAAAGACGAAGACCCTCAGCGAGGTAAATTGGCAAAGTGACAGCATCAATGGGTTCAAGCATGGCAACAATTGTGAAGTTGTCCTAGGACTGGGCAGTATTTCATTCTTGTTGTGCATAGTGTCGCTATGAGTCAGTAATGACTCAATGGCACCTAACAACTTTTGAGTCAGTTCTGACTCATAGAAAACCCTGTATAGGCTTTCTGAGGCTTTAAATCTTTGTAGGAGCGGAAAGCTGCATCTTTCTCCCTCATAGTGGCTGGTGGGCTTGAACCACTGGCTTTGTGGTACATAGTCCAATGCTTATCTTGTACAGCTACCATGCTTCCATTTGGGTCTATAAGACAATAAAAATATAAACATCACCATCACTTTCTAACAGGAAACATTTTAGTACACGTACACACAAGGAAAGACATTCTCAGAATAAAGGAAGTTATTTAAGTTGCATAAAATTATCTGTAAGAAAAAAGCAGTACATTGTCACTGCAATTCAGGTTTTTTTTTTTTCTAGATAGATGTAAAATTTGTAACAGATAGACACTTGTTTTCACACCAGCTTTTGAAACTGGTGATACGGGTGATCATCGGGTCATTAAAATGTTATCTGTCTTCTAAGGATTTCAATTGATACTCCAATATCACTTGGAACAAGAATTGATATGATTTTGATAGGTAAGTAAATGAGGTGAAGACAGGTTAAGTGTTACTATTCTCAGAGATTATGCATTGTTTTTCACTAGGTTTTCTCTAGTACATCTTTCCCCTGTGGAAGTTGCAGGGACCCTTTGGTCAACAGCTCAGTCACCCACTCCCTCCTATCACTTTCTCTTGGCATTTCTTTGTTGTTTTTGTTAAGTGCCATTGAGTCGGCACCGACCCACAGCGACCTTATGCACAGCAGAACGAAACACTGCCCGATCCTGGGCCAACCTCACTACTGTTGCCACGCTTGAGTCCATCGATGCTGTCACTTGGTCAATCTTTAAGATCACTGAAAAACCTTATGGAATGAAATTATTGTAAACAGGAAAATAATTTTTAACCCAGTGCCTAAGCCATTAGAAAAAATTCTCCCAATTACAGTAAGTAAAGATAATGGGACTGGTCAAGCCCATAGTGGGTATGAATATTGGTATTCCTTAAAGCAAACTGCATACATCTGCCAAAAGCAGAACAAAGAAAGAAATGATAATTAAAAGCAATTATTAAATAATTACAAAGTCATGCAAATTAACTATAGTTTAACTAAATTAACTATAGTTTAACTAATGCTTGTCATTTTCTGACCAAACCCATTGTGGTGGTGTGGCTTCTGATTCATAACAACCCTATCATAGGACAGAGTATAGCTGCTCCATAGTTTTTCCAAGGCTGCAATCTTGGTAGGTTTGAACCACAAGGCTAGTGCTTCAAACTCACCAGCCGCTCCTTGGAAACCCTACACAGGGTTGCTATGATTTGGAATCAACTTGGCAGCACTTAACAACAGCAGCAATCTTAGTAGGTAGTGGGTTATGTGTTGGACTGTTAACCACTGAGCTGGTTGGAATCCACCAGTCACTCTGCTCCCATAAAGATTTACAGACTCAGAAACTATACAGAGTCACTGTGAGTCAGAACCTACTGAGAGCACACAACAACAACATTTATGGATGCAGATTGCTACATCTTTCTTTCTGCTGAGCGCTAGGTGGGTTCCAACCTCCAGCCTTTTGTTTAGCAGCTGGTTTAATCACTGTGCCACTTGTTGTTGTTGTGAAGTGTCATCGAGTCAGTCTGACCCATAGCGACCCTGTATAGGGTTTCCAAGGAGAAACTGGTGAGCTTGAACCAGATCGCCTGAAATAAGTCAACCAGTAGTACTGATGTTGGAGTTCTGTCAGAAAATAGGAGTCCTGGTAACGTAGTGGGTTACGCATTGGGCTGCTAACGGCAAGTTCAGATGTTCAAAACCACCAGCCACTCCTGGGGAGAAAGGTGAGACTTTCTGCTCTCATAAAGATTTACAGCCCTGGAAATCCTATACAAGGTCACTATGAATCGGAATCGAGTCACGACTCAGTCATAAAGTAGAGGAGCCCTGGTGGCGAGTTGGTTAAACTCTCGGCTGCTAACCAAAAGATTGTGGGTTGGAACATACCTAGTATTTAGCAGAAAGAAAGAAGTGTCAATCTGCTTCCATAAAGTTTATGGTTTTTGAGACCTTATGCTGTTTTTGTTAACTGCTGTCAAGTTGATTCTGACCCATAGTGACCCTGTACAGGGTTTCCGAGGCTGTAAATCTTTACAGGAGCAGAAAGCCTCATCTTTCTCCGGCGGAACAGCTGGTAGTTTCGAACTGCTGACCTCGAGATTAGCAGCCCGATTCATAACCATTACGCAACCAGAGCTCCTTAGTTCTGTTTTGTCATATAGGGTCGCTATGAATTGGAATAGACTTGATGGCAATAGATTTTAATAGTGTCAGTTAATATGTCAATGGGCATTAAAAAATAGTAGGAAACATTGGATTAATAATCTATTAAAAGTAATGCCACATGGACTAAATGAATCAATCCACTGTCAGATATATTTAAATGTTGGTTGTTGTTGTTGTCAGGTGCCATCGAGTCGGAACCGACTGATAGCGACCCCATGCACAGCAAAACGAAACAATGTCCAATCCTGGGCCAACCTCACTATCGCTGCCACGCTTGACACCATCAACGATGCCACCTGGCTGATCCATCTCGTTGGGGGGGTCTTCCTCTTTTTCTCTGACCCTCGATCTTACCCAGCATGACATCCTTCTCTAGCGACTGTTACCTCCTGACAGTATGTCCAAAGTACGAGAGATGAAGTTTAGCCATCTTGGCCTCCAAGGAGCACCTCTGGCTGCACCTCTTCCAAACAGATCTATTGGTTCTTTTGGCAGTCCATGGCACTTTTAGTATTCTCCAACACCACAATTCAAAGGCATCAATTCTTCTACGATTTTCCTTATTCACTGTCCAGCTTTCGCATCCATATAAGGCTATTGAAAATACTATGACTTGGGTCAGGCGCACCTTAGTCCTGAAGCTGACATCTCTGCTCTTCAATACTTTAAAAAGTTCCAGTGCAGCAGATTTGCCTAGTGCAATACGTCGTCTGATCACTTAATTGTACTTCTGAGAAATCTGTACCGGGACCAAGAAGCAGTTGTTCTAACAGAGCATGGGAACACTGAATGTTTTAAATTGCGACAAGGTTGTGTTCTTTCACCATACTTATTCAACCTGTATGCTGTAAGCTGGATTCTATGAAGAAAAACGTGGCGTCAGGATTGGAGGAAGACTCATTACCAACCTCTGATATGCAGATGATAAATGTTGGTTAGCAGGGTGTAAACAGAACAGTGACTAACCCTTTTGTCCGCCCCTTTAGTGGGATCCTAGCTCCTCACAGGGACCCTAGCACCTCACAGGGATGCCTCCCTCAACGTCTCTATTTAGATGTATCTTCCTCCTAACACTAGGGGGAGAACAAGAGCCTTGGGACTCCCCCAACTCAGTGACGAGGAGGCGGAGTCTATTGTCAGATCACGCCTTTCTCACATGTGACTGGCACAGACACTAGCCAATAGATGTCAGGGTAGGGCGCGCCGGCGCCACGCCCCCTTCAGCGCCCCGCAGCCCCCAGGCACCCTCTGGCCGACTCGTCGGCGGCGGCCTGGGCGGACAGTGTGCCGTGCGCAGGCGCGGACCATAAACCTCGCTGCAGCCCCCATCGCCTTGGGGAGTCGCACCCACGGAGTCCGCCCGCTGGCCAGTCAGTGCTTTCCCCCACACCCACCTTCCCCAGCCCCCCCAGCCCCCGAAGCGCCCCGATGGCGGAGCTGCGGCCTAGCGGCGCCCCCGGCCCCACTGCACCCCCTGCTCCTGGCCCTACTGCTCCCCCTGCGTTCGCCTCGCTCTTTCCCCCCGGACTGCACGCCATCTACGGAGAGTGCCGCCGCCTTTACCCTGACCAGCCGAATCCGCTCCAAGTTACAGCTATCGTCAAGTACTGGTATGCCCTGGGCCTCGGGGAGACGGATGAGGGGGCTGGGAAGGGTTAAAGTGTCGGGGCAAAGAAATTTCTTGGAAGTGAGGGGAGAAGAAGGGTTAAAGCATTTGCAAGGAAGACTTCCTGCTGCGAGGGATGAGTTACCGCACAAGTTGAGAATGGGGACAAAGGGGTTAACGGAGTCTGTGGGCAGACAGTGAAGGGTTAACGGGGGAAGGGAAGATGAAAGGTTCAGGGTGATTCGGATGGACGGAGAAATGGGGTCTGTGGAGGAGCGTTAGGAGAGAGGGAACTGTAAACGTGGTGAAAGGAGGGGGCGCCAGTAGGGGGTCATTAGTGGGCTAGGGGAAGCCAAGAGTGTGGGGTCGGCTGAAGACGTGGGATGGGGGAGGCGAGGCGGGGCCTGGGGAGCATTTGAGAGTAGCTGGGCAAGAACCTCAAAGGACCAGAGACTGCTTAGGATGGGGGCGGGTCTGGGGGCTCTATTGACTTAGGAGGGCAAGTGGTTGAAAGAGTTGTGCTTGTGAAGAGATGAATAGGAGATTTCCTTTTGCTCTCTTCACCATGAGCTCAGACGAAATATCAGTGAAAAGCTTTTACTTTTGAAGTTTGACGAGAGTAAGTTTTCCAGATAAACCACTGCTTACTCTGCAGTGTTCCTCTCCCATGCAGAGTGCCCTTCTGGCTCTGCAGCTGCTTTGCTCTGGGACTTTCTATAGAACTGGGCCCGGGTTAAGGAGATCCATGGTTTGACTCAGGATTGAAAGGGACCACAGCTTCCCACATCTAGTAGAAAGTAAATGATGGAGATCTGGGACCTGCTTGAGAGGGAAGAAGTGCAGTAAGACTAAAGAGGTACTTCAAGATTTAGGTAGTAGCTTTTCAGGACAGCTGAGGATAACCGTCTAGTAGTTCTGTTAAGGATCAGGCTTGCTTACAGATGAACTGACATTCGTGTGGAAATGTGCTTTGCCAGTTTTCCTTCTCCATTTGCAATCTGTCTCTTCATACAGCCTTGGGGCAAAACAGGTGTTACTGGGACACTGGAGAAGAGCCTGTAGTTTTGGGCTTTCTGGGCCAAATGTTGACGGAGGAATTGGTTGAGTTAGTTGTGCTGTGGGTTAGGCATTGGACTACTTACCTTAAGGTTGGCAGTTCAAACCCACCAGGCGCTCTATAAGAGAAAGATGAGGCTGTCTGCTCTTATAGATTTACGGTCCAGGAAACCCATCGAGTCTCTATTAGTTGGAATTGACTTGATGGCAGTGGGTGTGGCTTTGGGTTTGGGTCAGGACTATGTACAGGCACTGTATTAGATGTACTCCTTCAGTGGGTCCTTGAAAGTTCAGAAAGCTAGTTACTTGGGGTGTAGTCAAAGGGGCAGGTAGACACAATGGTGGAAGAGAGTGGATGTCTTGGCTGGTTACCTTTACCCTTGGGACTGAGTCTTTCTCTTCCATGGCTATGTCTTACTTCCTGTGGAGATGGCAGTCAGCAGGCTGTGCAGAGCTGAAGTTTGCTCCTTAATGGGAGAATGTGCCCAGGGCCTTGGGACCAGTCACCTGCACTACAGGGAGGGCCATGGGGGGCAGCCTGCCTTTGTCTGGGCAGTCAGGAGAATACCCGTGATGCTGTTCTTGCTGGCATGCAACCTGTTCTTTGGTTGAGAGGAGGGTTTTTTAAATGTTTTATTGTGAATTATGTGATAGTTTACATGGGAGAATATTAGTTTCACGTTCATACAATTGTAGATCATTTCATTGCTATGATTATAATCCCCTCCATGCATCATCAACCAACCAAAGGGCATACCCTGCAAGCCTGCCGCCCCCCCCCCCTTGTCGTCAGCACACAGCCCCTCTCTGTGTCTAAAGTCCTCAACTGCTCCATCTCTCCATCTCAGGCATCACTGCATCTCTGGGTAGGGTCCCGCTCTCTGCTCTTCTCCCTTGATGGTCCCAGGGACCTCCACTCCTAGGCTGAAAAGTTAATTACTCCCCTCCTTGCTACAAAACGTCTACCTTTACATTTCCAACCCTTGAGAGGAGTTTTTGAAGAGCCTCTGAGTGGAAAGCAGTTCTTGCTCACATAAATAGCCATTCTAATTGTGTCTTTACATTTAAATATGGTTTGGGAGGAACACTGTTGAAGCTGGGTGTTGAACCAGTTCAACTCCCTGCTGAATATTTGCTTCTCCACCCCAAGTAGAAAGAATCAGAATCTGCATTTTAACAAGATCCCCAGGTGATTCTTATGTATACATAATGACCTGGTTGGCAGCCTTGAAAAAAAGTGGGCTGGACTCTAACATGTGATTTGTTCCAGCCTCTTTTTTTAGTGTGAAAAGACCCTTCACAGACTCAGGCAACTGCATTTATCTGGTACCCAAGTAACTATAAAGGATGCAAAAGGCAAGGAAGCACATGCAAACAACTAAGACTAGTTTAGGCAACTTTTTTTTTCTTCTCTTTTTCTTCCTGCTACAAGCTTGTTAACCAGGCCAGGTCTTAGCTTCAGAGATGGGCCAGCATGTAATGATAAAGAAAATTGTGCAGCACTTGCTGAAATTAGAAATGCTGCCTTGTTGTTGTTAAGTGCCCTGGAGTCCATTCCAACTCATGGTGACCCTGTGTAGGGTTTCCAAGGAGTGGCTATTGAGTTTGAATCGACAACCTTGCATTTCAAACTGACTTTGAGGTCCGGTGCTTATCCTATAGCGCCGCACCAGCACTCCTCAAAATGCTGCCTAGATGCAGAAACAAAAAACCAAGAGGGAACCATTCAGTGACTGAATCTGTAGAAGATATGAAGAGGTTTGCATAGTTAAGATCTGAAATTCATTCATATCCCTCACATTTGGGTTCCTATGTGTTGCCTGGCTCAATTAACCATCTTCATTTCACATAGCAGGATGATTGATTGAAGCTGCCTGGTTTGGTTACTCCAGGGTACTTAGGCATTTCTCTTCCTACAGTGGAAGGATGCTTCTTGGGCCAGTAGTGCTGACCAGGGATGACCTGGCTGAAAGCTGAGACTTCAGTGAGCAGGAAGCAGAAGCAGAGAGGCAGAGCCTATGCCCAGGGTCCATTCTAGTCCTACAACTGACCTGCATAGTTAAGTCAGGTGTTTGAGGCTCCTCTCCTCTAGAATTAAGTTGAAGGATGCTCTGGGTCCTTGGCTAACATCTTTTTCTAAGTGCAAAATAAGATGATTTTCCACACATGCACCTACTTCCAATCAGGTCTGGGAGTAGTAGAGCAGAACATACTGTGCTTGGGCGCAAGGTTAAGTTTATCAGACTCTTGGTCATTCCCTGCGCTTGTGGTTTTAAGGAAAAGCCTCCTTCCTGGATGTGATACCTCCTGGAACATGTGGAGATAGAAGGGGGCTTCAGTGATATGAGAGAACCATTGGGGACAGTTCTACTCTTGTCCTACGGAGTTACTCTGAGTTGGAATCAATTTGACAGCATTGGTTTTGGTGGGGGCAGTGATATGGCACATGGAGTACTGAGTGGAATGGTGATAGCAGTTTTTGACCACTTGTTGCTGGGTGATTTTTGGCTGAAGGAGAGGCAGGATTAGAAATTTGTAGCAAGAAGCTTGAACAAATATGGGACCTATAGTCATTCTCATCTGTTTGGGGTTCTGTAACTATTCTGGGGTCCTTCCAGGGTTCAGTGCCCATTTATGTCCTCCTTTCCCTCACCAACTGATTCAGAGATTTGTCAAATGCTTTGGTGAAACCAGAGCTAAGGGAAGACATGGAGAGTTGTGTCTCTCCCTAACCCACTCAGTTGAGATTCTAAACTATTTGTAGCAGCTTTCTTAAAAGTTCTATAAATAACTTAGCATTTCCTAGTAGAGAATAAAGATCTCGACAAAGGCAAATAATCTCCTGGCAGAGACGAAGAAACCAGACCTACTGGTTTTAAGTTGTGTTTCAATTGCATGGTACTGGTACGCTTGCTGGGATCACATGTAACGTGTCTTGTATGTGATCATTAGCACTTCTTCAGCATACTTTCCCAGTTGCAAAATACATTCTGTAAATGCCCAAACCCACTGCTGTCAACTCAATTCTGACTCATAGGTACCCTATAGAACATAGTAGAACTGTTCTCCCTAGGGTTTCCAAGGCTATACATCTTTACAGAAGCAGACTGCAACATCTTACTCCGGTGATGCGGCCGATGAGTTGAACTGCCAACCTTTAGGCCACCAGCCTAGTGCTGTACTGTTAGCAGCGTAGTATTTAACCACTGTGCCAAGAGGGTTCCTTATCAATGCTCAGGAGTTGTTGTTGTTGTTAAGTGCCATTGAGTCTATCCCGACCCATAGCGACTCTGTGTAGGGTTTCCGAAGAGCAGCTGGTGAGCTTGAACCACCAACCTTGCAGTTCAAACAGCTTTGCAGTCTGGCGCATTAACCCACAGCACCACAGTCTGTGGGATGGTCAGATGCCAATGCAGCTGAAATGCAGAGTGTGGGCTGACTGAAGACTTCCTTCCGTCATGATTTCCATTTAGTTTGTTTTTCAAGTCTTTGAAGGTTCTCTATCCATTCTGAAAGCCGGAATTTTTTTTTAAAAGTACTAATTACTAAAGGAAACCCTTATTGAATTAAATCCTCAGAGTGAGATAATGACTGAATCTCTTCTACAACTGCCTCTCTGTTGGATTGTGGGAATATTTTAATGTGATCCTTAGAGGCCTTGAATCAATGAATGTTGCAGCTCTACCTTTGAGCCGGCAGTCTCTTGGGATCATCTGCCAGATGCAGATGATCACAGGGCTCAGCTGGGCCCCTGCTGCAGTTCTCTGCAAAGCTGAGCTAACCTAAGTGTGGCCTTTGTCACTTGCAATGATAAAAGACCAGCTTTGGTCTGCAGGGTGCAGGCTGGGGTCTGTACAGACTGAAGGCTTTGGGTTTAGAACAAACTGTAATTAACATAGGGCACAAAATAGTCTTTCAGGAATTAGCCTTCTGAGAGACAGCAATGGAACGGAGCCTCTGCTTCCAAGAACAATGCCCATTGGAGATGCTCCGGATGATCTTTCCACAGAGGCCAGTTGATTGACTGATGCACCTCTTGCCTTGAAGTTTGGCATGTTTACTGGCACCATGGAAGAGAGATAATCCCTGCCAATCCCATTTAGGATTTGTAATTTGAAACAGCAGGAAGCAAAATAGACAGCCACGCAGTCTATTGTGTGCATTTCTATAAGAGGTCCTGCGTGTTGGGGGTTGGAGAAAGGAGTTTCTTGTGCTAGTGCCATTGGGCATTTTCCAGCTATTCATCTCTTAGTCTCATCCTAGAGTGGGTGTGGCTTCCCTTCAGCTCTCTTTCACCTCAGGTTCTTTTAGGAACCCCAGGTTCTTTTGGTTTGCCAAGACAGAGCGCCTTAGCTTGACATCGCTTGGTTTCCAGGCTCACACTAACATCTCTGTTTCTTCTTTTGCAGGTTGGGTGGTCCAGACCCCTTGGACTATGTTAGCATGTATAGGAACATGGGGAGCCCCTCTGCCAACATTCCTGAGCACTGGCACTACATCAGCTTCGGCCTGAGCGATCTCTATGGGGACAGCAGAGTGCACGAGTGAGTGTGTACCCACCCTCTGCCTGCCCATTCCTCAGTCTTAAGACTCATTTTGGAGGTTCTTTGGAGCAGGAATAGTAATGTCATAGTCTATGAGGTTGTTACTTCTCAGTGGACCCTCTGGGTTTCTGCTCTTTGCCGATATTAACTCATGTGAAGGTGGTCCACGTTGCTTTGTCTGGTCTAGGGAAGCATCAATGATGAGTAAGAATTCCCAAACCACTGGCTTTTCCCAAGTTTGGACTCAGAGAATAGACAGCATAGCTCAAACCCAGTACCTGGGTTGACATATCTAAGTCTATTTCTTTTATTTCCCTCAATATTGTATTATTAAAAAATCTAAACATACAGAAAAGTTGAAAGAATTTTACAGTAAACACCCATATACCCACTACTTAGATTCTACTATTAAAATTTTACTCTTATTTGCTTTATCACAAATCTGTCCATCTCTCTAGCCATCTAATCTACTTCCTGCAGTTATCCATAGTACATTTTGTATTCTAGTCTGTCCTTCATTTGCTGCTCTGTGTACTTCTACATCTTGTGTACTCCTGTATACAGGGTGCAGATGATTAATGCACTCACTTGCTAACAAAAGTTTGGTGATTTGAGAGACATCTTGGAAGAAAAGCCTGGTGATCTACTTCTGAAACAGCAGCCACTGAAAGCTTTATGGAGCAGAGTTCCACTCTGAGACACTTGGACTTACTATGAGTCAGAATTGACTCGATGGCTACTGATTCTAGTTTCATTTCTAAATCCTACTTGCCTTCCTGGCTTCTTTCTATAATTACCTAATTTGTGTTTGGTGATTAGGGAATCAATTTTAATACCAACTTAAGAATAATCAATTTAGTAATCAATCAGCTAAACAAGAACAGTAATAGTGATAACAGTAAAAGCTATTATTTACTAAGCTGTTATGTTTGTAAATTAACTAACTTAATTTTTATAACAACTGTCAGATTCTCGTAGGTATTATTAGTCCCCTTTTACAGATGAGGAAACTGGGACATGAAGAGGTTCTAGAACTGGCTTAAGGTAATTTGGAAGTGGCAGAGCCAGGATTCTGAATCAGGCGGTCCAGCTTCAGAGCCTATGTTCTTAATGGCTGTGCTGTTGTGTACCATGGAGTTGATTCCAACTCATAACAAATCTGTAGGACAGCGTTGGGTTTCCCTATAGGGTTTCCTAGCCTGTAATCTGTACAGGAAGGAGCTCTGGTAGCGTAGTGGTTACGAATCGGGCTGCGAACCTTAAGGTCAGCAGTTTGAAACCACCAGCTGTTCCGCGGGAGAAAGATGAGGCTTTCTGCTGCCGTAGAGATTTACAGCCTTGGAAACCCTGTGTAGGGTCCCTATGAGTCGGAACTGACTCCACGGCACTTAACAACAACAACAACAACAACAATCTGTACAGGAGCAGGTTGCCAGGTGTTTTCAACCATGGAACAGCTGGTAGGTTTAAACCTCAAACCTCTTGATTAGCAGTTGTGGCATTAACCATTGTGACACCAGGACACCTTTGACTATGCTCTAGTGCCTCTTTTATATCATGTACTCCAATAAACTACTTCCTATAATTAAAAAAAAAAAATTTCCCATCAATCCTTTTTTTTTTAAAACAAATATAACAAAAAAAAATCCATATATAATCTATTGAGGGAAGAATTCTTTTCATCAGTTCAAGTCATTAAATCATTAGCTGGTTAATCAAGAGCTGATTTTATATTTATTGTGACATCTTCTGTTTTTCGTGTTACGTGCCTATCTTATTTTACCTCTTAAGACCATCTTTTTCTGATCTTGTTAATGGTTGCTTAGACTGAACATGCTGAGTTGTTGTCAAGTGCCATCAAGTTGGTTCCAACTCACAGTGATCCTGTATAGGGTTTCCAAGGAGTGGCTGATGGGTTTGAACCACCTACCTTGCAGATAGCAGTCCAGTGCTTATCCTATAGCACCATACCAGTACTCTGCTGAAACAGTAGCAGGGATTTTACTGTCCTGCTTTAGACAACCCATCTGATTCTGAAGGTGTTGATAATGCTGGGATGATGAAGATGATGCTAATCACATTTTTTTCTTCTTTTTTACTAGTCACTTTTTTTGGTCTTGCCTTATTTTGTTTTCGCTCTTAACTATTTTCCATTTTATGATATTAATGCTTTATAATCTTATCAGGTTCTCATGTTAGCTCCATTTTATAGATGAGGAATCTGAAGCTCTTGAGGGGTTAAAATGACTTGCCTAAGGTCACACACATTTAGGTTGTATGAGAACTGGGATTGAATTGGGCTCTCTGAGTTCAAAATCCTAGCTCTTAACCACTGAATTCTCTCATGTTTCTGATCTCAGGTACAACTCAACTTCTTCTTCTTCTGTTAACCTGGGAGGCCTAGGCTTCATCTCCTCATTGGTCACGTGTCAAGGAATAATGTCTGGGTCTGCCTTTACAGCCTCCCAAATGGATCCATTGCCATGTCAGCAGAAGGCTTTGTGAACAGGGAACCTATTTTTCCTGAATAGGGACCTTGCATTACAGTATTAGTAATGGACATAGAATAGCAAACAGATGTGAGAAGTAAAGTGACTATGCAGGACTTTAATTTATATTTTTAATAAGAACCTGCAGAGGTTATTTAGTGCAGCTAGCCTGTACCTTTCTGTTGACAGATTTATTCCAGTTAAAAGAATACCATTTCCTATGTGGCTTAAAGATTCTGAAGTTTGGTACTGTGTCCAGGGTCCAAAATAGCATGAAGAATGTAAATGAGTAAGCCTCATATTTCAGAAGGCGCAACCTCTGAATTTGTGAAAGGCCCTTCTTTTTTTTCCCTAATGTAACAGTACCCCCTTACATGTGTATTATTTCTAGCACTTCGAAATTCACATGTCATTTGTTACAATAGTGAGACCCTCCATTTGGGCTTTTATCTCACCATTCAAACCTGGTATTTTCAACATTACCTCCTGCTATTAGAAGGACATTTGAAGGATATTCTTGGATATTTACACAGTGCTGGTAAATATCCAAAAAAAGTGCCTTTATAATTGGCTTTGTGCTGGTGTAGTTGACTGGTGAGTTGTAGACCCCGGTAAGTTTCTTGAAGAAAGATCTGCTTTTTCAGATGTTCCATCTGGTGTGTCCACTCTAAAGTGAGTTCATGGATTCTCATTTAATTTAGTACTTGAAGCTGTGCTCAGGAAGGTGAATGTTCTATCATCCAGCTTACATGCAAAGAAGCACTGAATTCAGGCAACTGCATTTCTGGCAATGGTCATTTTCCACTGTCTTTTGTCTTCTGAGACAGTGAACCAAGGGCAGAAGCAGTGTATTCAGCATACACTCATCAAGATCCTATTTCAATCAGACCCTGACTATCATAATAGATGTTTTTTTTTTTAATTACAAACTTTTTATTGTGAATTGAGTGAAGGCTTACAGGCAAGATCATCAATTTTACATTCAACAAATCATACACTTTGTTTCATCTCAGTGATTGCAATCCCCTCCATGTAATAACAGTTATCCCACTTTCTTCCTGTGGTTCCTGTGTCCATTCCACCCTCCTTCTCATCCCTTTTCAACTTTGTTGTTAGGTAAATGTTGCCCTTTATAATAGATATTTTGGAGAGAAGAAATACCAGTACATAGTTTCTGTCTCAAGGAGTTTATGTTCTAGAGGAGAGATAAATGTACAGAGATGGCTATAGAATTGAGTAGTAAATGCTACAATGTATGGGTGTAGACCATAATCTGGGAGCAGGGTGGAAGGAGTGACTTTTAGGCCATCTGTAGGATTGGAGGACTCTCTAGGAAGGCAGTGAAGTTAGAAGACCCTTGTAGGGAAGGAGCTGGGTAAGAGCTTCAGTCTTATATTTTTAACCCAGTGATTCCAAAGTATAGTGCCACTTTCATGATTTCTGTCACTGTATGGTGCTCCGTAAGAGGAAGATGTGACAGGATGCTCCATAAAGATTGATGTCCTTGGACATCTTATGGGGTAGTTCTGCTCTGTCCTATAGGGTCTCTGTGAGTCAGAATCAATGTGGCATCAATAGGTTTACTTATTTTATATTTCTTTTTAATTAGTATATGTATATTTTAACAAGAAATGGTGAGTCACTACCATATTTGTAAACCAGTGTCACTTGTACTTTTAAGGTAATTGTAAAAATAAGCACAATGAAAACAAAGCAATATTAAATTTTAGCTTAGTATTGTGCCATGTCACAGAAAGTTCCAAGCCTGAGGCCAGCTCTGTCTTTGAGAGATTAGCAAGTCTGAGAGAGGTGTGGCAAAGACATGCTAGCATCAAATGGAACCTTCTTTCTTGAATGATCAGAAAAATAGAAAGGTAATTGAAAGGCAACTGTAAAAAAAAACACCAAAAAACAAAAAAACCTGAATTTACCTGTATTGCTCATTGTTATAGATATATTCCGTACTTAGGAAACACTCATCTTGTTATCTCCCTTAATTGTACAGTTGAGGAAAGTACAGTAACCTACCTAAGACTATACAACTGTTCATAAAGACTGCAGGTAGAAGTTGTTGTTATGTGCCTTGGAGTTGGTTCTGACTCACAGTGACCTTGTATAGGGTTTCTGAGGCTGTAAATCTTTACGGGAGCAGAAAAGCCTCATCTTTCTCCCGCGGAACAGCTGACAGTTTCGAACTGCTGACCTTGCAGTTTGCAGCCCGACTCATAAGCACTACACTACCAGAGCAGATAGAAGTAGTCTCCTAATATCCCCTCTGTTCTGTTCTCTCTTGATACTGAGGAGAAGTGCCTGGGGCATTGTTTCTTGCTTCTCCTCTTAGCTTATCAGAGCTGGGACAGGCAGAAGCCCAGGGGTCTCCTGCATTTCTTCTTGCTCCTTGCAAGCATGCTTAAGGAGAAGGACGGAAGAACCCAATCTTGGTAATCCTAACAAGGGGAGAAGAATAAACTGATTGGAAAGCCTTGGAACAGCTAAAACAAAAAATACCAA